CTGTCATGCCCGGAACCCATTTGGGAATATGGGGGCCTCCCCGAACCCATTAGGATGGTCAAGTTCCTGTCCATGGCGTGGGGCGTGACCCTGGGCACCAGTCAGATTCCCTCCCTTGACCTCTGGTCTCCCTGGAAGAGATGAGGAAGGTTCTCAGCTCTCAACAGACCAGGCAGGTCGCTGTCAGAGCTCGGGTGCTGCGGGAATGTGATCCGCAGGGTGTGTCTAGGCTCCAATTTCTAGGGGCGTCTGGGGCGCACATTGGCAGTGGCTGAGCTAGCCTCAGGAGTTGGCCCCATCTAGAGAAGCACCTGGGGTAATGGTGGGCCAGACACCGCCTGGAATTTGCTAACAGGCAAACCCTGAGCCCAGATCATGCCCTCGCACGCCCCTGGCTTGGGGACCTCTTTGCTCTGCCTTGAGCCTCTATTGGCATTCCTCGGCTTGCCCTGTGGGTTCTAGGATGCCCCTATTTGGGCAAACACACAGAGCTCTGGGGCCTGGGATCAAAATCTCCCAGTAGGGCAGTCCTGGAAATCTTTTCGAGTTTCTGGGATGGGGGCAAGCATTTGGGCATCTCTAATTTCCTGCAGCCGAGAGAGGCAAGGAGACACAGCAGGAGAAGCCCAGGCCTGGCAATAAGACGGACTCGGTTTGAATCCTGACTTTGCCCCTTACCAGCTGTGTGACCTTGATCAAGCTACTTAACTTCTCTGAATTTGCTTCCTCATCTGTAAAACAGGGGGATTTAGTACCTGCCTGGCGGAGCGGTGGTGAAATGTAAATGAGACACCTGTAAGTGCTCAGTAAATGACGACCATCACTATCTTGTGGAAGAGAACCAAAATGAGAGCTGTACAAGTTGCACAAATTCCTTGCCCCCAATACGTACAATACACACACACACACACACACACACACCCCGGTCTTGCAGCTGCAGCCAAAAGGACCATTCAAATATGTGCCAGATCATGTCATTCCTTGGGGCAAAGTCACCCAATGATCTGTCACTCAGAGTCAAAGCTGAGCCTTCATAGGCCCCGGGCCCTCGGCAGTCCGCCCCTTTTGTCTCTCTCTCTGACCTCATCTGTCACCCTGCTCGCCCTCGCTCCCCACCTCCTGGCTGCTCCAGAACACGGAGGCACACTCCCACCCCGGGGCTCGGCGCTGCCATCCCCTCTGCCTGGAACACATTTCCCGACACCTGTCTGCAGGGCTCACTCCCTCTCCTCCTCCCCATCTTTGCTCAAATGCCTCCCCAGCCACCCTGTTTTAAATGGAGCCCTCCCTCCTTCTCTCTCTTCCTTGCTTTATTCCCCCATTGCCTGATCATGGCCTGACACACTGTGAAAGGCGTTTTGTTGATTATCTCCACTCGCAGGAATATCTGCTCCACAAAGGCAGGGGTGCTTTGTCTGTTCTGTTCACATTCGTAGGGCCTGGGCACACAAGTAGGGGCTTAATGTTTGTTGAATGAATATCCGAATGAAGGCGAGGACTGGTGCAGGTAAGGGGAGTGGGCCATGGCATGAAGTGCATCATCACTCTCCTCTTTTGCCAAGTGAAGGAGTTAGACTAGAACCCCGGGGGGGCGGCCTGAACCCATGGGAATGGTGCACATCATTGCGTGAGTTCCTGCCTCCATGCATTTTTCTGGGTTGAGGATCCCTAGCTTCTTGCAGACATTTAACAGAGCCTGTGATGGCCCCCAGAGAAGCCAAGTCCTCACCCTGCTCTGATATTTCGTGGTTGGCTCTAATAGGCTCAAATCCCTGCTTTCTAAGAACCCACAATGCTAACGTTCCTTGATCTCGTTCAGGTCTCCGCAGCCACAGCGGTCCCGTCCCCAAAAGGGGCAGGGGAACCAGAGGGGGCCTTGGCGGGGTCAGCATGGCGGGGGCAGGGGTGCCCACGGGGCACGGGAGCGGAGACGAAGGAGACCTCTATATCACATGTGCTGTTTTCTTCCTTTTATTTAAAAAGAAAATAGATTTAAAGCAAGTATGACAAATGCGAGTCACTGTCGATGCTGGATACGGGGCACAGGGGTTTTTTTATCACAGAGAGCTTTGTGCCTTTTCTGTATTTCAAAAATTTCCTTAAAAAGTACAGATTTGGAGGTGGGCAGGATGGTTACAGCTCATGATTAGGAATGAAGAGGCCGTTTCTGGGGGCCCGAGGGACACGTACTTGGGGCATTTTTCCTTGTTGGGGGGCCGAGGGGATGGCGGGGTCTGGGCCCATCCCTGGGGCTGTGGGAGCCCCCTGTCCTCCCCTCCTACCCCCCTCCCGGGTCTCAGTTTCCTGCCTTCCTGAGGAGGAGGGAAAGGCTGAGAGGCCCCGTGCTGGGGGTGAAGTTAATTCATTAGCGATGCCTCGACAAGGACTGGGCGCCCGCGGTGCCAGCATGATTCATCAACACGATTGCCCTGCTGCCAGCCTGCGTGGGCCCGGAACGCCAGCACATTTTCCCTTTACCCACTGAGAAGGGCCTGGTGGGAGGCGAAGGTACAGGAGCTACGGGGAGCAAGGAAAGGACTCGGAGAAAGAAGAGGGCTGGGCCCCTGTGCCCTTGAACCCAGGAAGCTCTGCCAGGCTGGTGCTGGAGTTGCAGGGGCTGGTGGGGCTCCTGCCTGGGCCGGCAGAGCCCAGGAGGGCTGCCTGGTGCTGGAGCATGTGGTGAGGGGGTACTGGTTGGGTTCCCTCCTCCAGAGCGAATGTTCCCTCGGAGGGGGGGGAATGACTTGGGGGCGGCAGGGGGTGGGGGTGGGGGAGGCGCTCATGCTCATCCATCAGCCTCCCTGGGTTTTCCTCAACTTGCTGGTCTCTGAGGTAAGAAGTTCTCCCAAATGAGCGGAAGGGAGAGAGCTGGACTGGGGCTTAGGTGAGGTCTGGAAGGAGGTGGAAGACCCTCTGGCTGAGCTCAGAAGCCTCCTACACCCCAGGTCTGGCGTCTGGGCTCCACTTATTCTCTGCCTGGGTCCCCTACCTCAGCCTGGAGTGTCATCCGCATCTTGTCAGTCTCCCTCCCAGTACAGGGATCTGAGGCCGGCTCCTGGCTCAGAGCAATACCTGCTTCTGGGTCCCCCATCACCTGCTCACCCCATGCCGCTCCTTGCCTCATGACGACTGCTAGGGTTCTGCCCTTCCGTTCCTTTATCCAACGCAGGGGGTTTCCGAGCAAAAGAAGCCAGGAGCAAAAAAAGTACACACTGCATAATTTCATTTATGTGAAATTCCAGAACAGGCAAAACTGATCCATGAGGGCGGAGGTCAGGACCATGGCGGCCTCTGGGAGGTGGGAGTGACCGGAAGAGGCACACGAGCGAACCCTGAGTGCCGGAAATATTACAGTTGTCAGAGCGCAACAACCTGTAACAACGATCTGTGCATTTCACTGTATGTGAAGTTTGCCTCCGTTTTAAAAAATGTTAAAAATTTTCATTGAATACCTACTACGTGCCCGCACCTGGGGCGACAGGGAAGCAGACAAACCCGCCTGCCCCTCGGAGCTTACATTACAGAGGGGGTGGTTCCCACCCTCAGGTTGCAGTGTCACTGCTCTCGGCCCTGGGGCTGGCCACCCTCTTAGCAGGCAGTGGGGGTGGGTGGGGGTGGGTCAAAGGGCAGGATGCTGTCTGGAGGTCTGCCTGTCCAGTCAGTTCCCTGGGTCACACCAGCCAGGTTCAAGGGGAGACATGGAGCCTGCAGACTGGGCTGCCAGGCTGTAACCTCTACTCACTGTGTGCCCTTCAGCGGCTTGCCTAATCCCTCTGGGGCCACTTTCCTCATCTTTCACATGGGATTAATAATGCTTTCTGTATAGTTTTGTCATGAGAGTTAAAGGTTCCATTGTGAGCAAATTCATTGCCAGAGGTGGAGCCATCAATGTTTCCATTTATTGGTGTGGTCCATGGAAAAGGGCAGAGGCTCGAGAGGGTGACCTTGGGCAAGTCACCCAGCTCAATCGAACCTCTCAGAGCCTCAGTTTCTCCATCTTTAAAATTGGAGTAATGAGGGTACCTATCTTCTAGGTGTGTGGCAAGAGTTCAGTGTGATGCTCTCAGCACAGCGCTGGGCACGGGGCAGCCTCACAATAACCGAGAGAGTGTGCCAGGAGCTCAGGCTGGAGGGTCTGAACTGGCGGGGAGAGGGCAGGGGCTAACACTGTTGGCAGGAGCATGCGTGAGAGGAAGGGTCCCCAAATAAGAGCGGTCATCATTGGTGGCGCTCCCGTGTCCCAGTCCTCTGCCCACTGCAGCCACAGACAGACCTTGAGCATAGCTGGAGGGACGTGGCACGAGACAGGGGTGTGACCGCACTAGCGAGAAACCTGTTGTGCAACGAGGGTGCCCGAGGAGGGGAGGGGGACGGAGCCAACTCCTGGGTCTCCGCAAATCCTCACACGTGACCCACCTTGAAAAGGGCCAGGAAGGAACACTGTTGCGGGTTACTAAAGTGACCCCAGCGAGGGGTCGCATGCCGCTGGACAGGAATGGTCTGCAGTAACCGCGCCCCTCAGTCCCTCCTCGAGAGCCACTTGTCCAGACTCCTGGGTCGTGGGCCGGCGTTTCCTCGGTCCTCTTTTCCTTCTCCTTGGACTCGCTGCTCTGAGCGCACACAACCAGACACCAAACGGCTCGCTGTGGCCGGAAGTGTAGACAGCATCGGACGTCGGGTCTGTGTTGGCACAGTGCCAGGCTTGCGGGGCGTGGACTTTGGGTTCCCTTGGCGCGCTCTGGTTCCCTGGCGGGTCGGATGGGCTGGCGGGGGGCGGGCCTGGAGGCTGGGACCCCGATCGGTTGGCACCCTGGCCCCGCCCCGCCCCGCCCTCCATCCGCCTCATTGGCAGCCGCACGCGCGTCGGGGGTTGCCAGGGTGACGAGTCCCTAAGCGGCGAGTCAGCGCCAACCCGAGCCAGTCGGCCTCCGGCAGAGAGAACGGGGGAGGCCGGAGGGCGGGCGGCCGAGCGCGGCGCGCGGCGGCGCGGCCCCAAGCGGGCGCCTCCTCTCGGTCCGGCACGGCCCCCCTCCCGGCGCAGGGGCAGGCCCGGGCGGGGGGCCCCGGAGCCGGCGCGGCCTCGGCCCCGTCGGGGAGGCCGGGGGGCGGCCAGGGCGGGGCGATGCCGGGCGGCGGCGGCGGCGGCCCCTGCCGGGGCCCGTGACCATGGGCATCGCCGAGTCCACGCCGGACGAGCTGCCGTCGGACGCGGAGGAGCAGCTGCGCAGCGGCGATCAGCAGCTGGAGCTGAGCGGGAGGCGGCTGCGGCGGCTGCCCAGCGCCGTGTGCGCGCTGAGCCGCCTGCAGAAGCTGTACGTGAGCGGCACGGGGCTGCGCGAGCTGCCCGAGGAGATCGAGGAGCTGCGCGAGCTGCGCATCCTGGCGCTCGACTTCAACAAACTCGAGCGCCTGCCCGACGGCCTGTGTCGCCTGCCGCGCCTCACGCGCCTCTACCTGGGCGGCAACAGGCTGCTGGCGCTGCCCGCCGACTTCGCGCAGCTGCAGAGCCTGCGCTGCCTCTGGATCGAGGGCAACTTCCTGCGGCGCTTCCCGCGGCCGCTGCTGCGCCTGGTGGCGCTACAGTCGCTGCAGATGGGCGATAACCGGCTGCGCGCGCTGCCCGCCGAGCTGCCGCGCATGACGGGCCTGCGTGGCCTCTGGCTCTACGGGAACCGCTTCGAGGAGTTCCCGCCCGCGCTGCTGCGCATGGGCCGCCTGCACATCCTCGACCTGGACCGCAACCGCCTGGGCGGCTTCCCCGACCTGCACCCGCTGCGCGCCCTGCGCGTCTTTTCCTACGACCACAACCCGGTGACCGGGCCCCCGCGCGTCGCTGACACCGTCTTCCTCGTGGGCGAGGGCGCCGTCGAGCGCATGGCCGAGCGCGACGAGCCCACGCCCCGGCCGCCGCCCCGGCGCCCAGCGCGAGCCTTTGAGGATGAGGAGGAAGAAGACTTGCTCATAGGGGGCGGGGGCTCCCGGGCTCTGGGGTCCCCCAGAGGCAGCCTCCGTGCCCTGGAAGCCGCTCCAGGACTGGGCACCTGAGCCTATGCTCTGGGTGATGGACTTTGGCCACTTTGGGAGGAGGGGCTCTGGGAATGGCTGTGGGACCGGTGGACCCCGAGTTGGGGCAGAGGAGTGACCACTTTGGGCCAGCTGCTGGTGACACGTAGGCCTGGGGGCCGTCTTCCCAGGTAGTAAGAAGACTGCCTCCTGGCTGATCCCTGGGCAGTCATCAGACCAAGAAGTCCCAGCTCCATTCAGTCCCCTTTAGCCCTGTCTAGTCTCTGATAGAGTCTCTGACACTACAACAGAGGTGCCAGCTTCCTCCTGGAACCAGAGTCCCCGCTGTCTGGCGTCACCACCTCGGCTGAGCCTGGATGGCTGGGCTGCCCACCAACCTCCCTCCTCCTGGAGTTTGGATCTCCTAGAACCACCCTTTCTGGTGCAGGAACCACTACCTCTGGGTGGACCAATGTCTGTGGGAGGCAGCACTGCCCTTGGAGGAGGCCCCGGCCCAGGGCCAGGGGCTTGGAGCTGGGGCCGGTGCCCAGGACAGAAATGGTAAACTGAGGTTGGGGTCCTAACACTGCAGCTGCCCTTGCCTCTCCGCATACCTTGCCATACATACCTCCCTCCCCAGGGCCCCTAAAATTTGTATGGGGAAGTGGTGGTGGGGGGTGCTCAGAAGGCAAAGTCTCTGATACCGCCATTCTGTTCTCTTCTCCCAGCTGGTGCCTGGAATCTTGCTGGGAGCACACTCTCCCTTCCCCACAGCCTGAGCCTTCCAGCTGTCAAGTTTGAAAAGAAGCCACTGTGCCTCTAGGGCCTGCTGCACCCAAGAGAGAGGCTGCTCTACACCTCTCCCACTGCCTGCACTCTCCATTCCCTTAAATGGGCACCGTCAGTGGCTGGCACGGCGCGGGGCACGGACGAGCATGGTGTGCCTCCACTCCGTCACCAGGGACAGCCTCAAGGGGGTGAGGAGTGGGGCCTCGCTCTGCAATTCCCAGGGCCAGATCTTTCCCATCCAAGCAATAATGGGAGGAGGGAGCCAGGGCTGGGGACACTCAGGGACACTGTCAGGGGCAGGGACCCCACATGGTAATGTTTTCTTTAGGAAGAAAAAAAAAAAACTGGCTGTAAACATAAATTATATTTCTTGGAGAAAGAATGTGCGTTTCCCACATGGCTGTTTATTTATAAGCCCTGGGATCACCGGGTCCCATCGCTGTGGGGACCCTGGACTCCCTCTGGCACTGCCCTCTGTCCATGTGCCCCAGCTCTGCGTCAGGCTGGCCCCGGCCAACTGTCGTGTCCTGTCTCGGGAACAAGTGATTGTCCTCAGTCACAAATGGCTTTGGCTGCACAAGGCTGGTTTTGCTTTATCTTTCTCTCTGCCTCCCAGCCCCTCACCCTGCCTTCCTCGGTCTTCTCCGGCTTAACTCTCAGCTTCCAGATTCTTAGTGTGTTTTTGAATCTCACTCATGCTGGGCTGACCTTTCTCTCTGTTTTCACTAGGACCGACCCACTTCCTCCCTGTTCATGACTCTTTTCTCCCCTCCTTCCATCTCTCTCGCTCCATTTTCCTCTCTCTCTCTTAGTCTCTTTTTGACTCACTCATGGTATTACTTTCTCCCCTCATTGTTGGGGAAAAAAAGATTTAAGGAGAGGAAGAAAATTGTAAAACCTTCAGCTTAGAGGCCCGTCTCCAGGGAGAAGATGCTGCCAGGCCATCATCACCATGGCAACAGGACTGATGTCATACAAGGCCAAAAGGTCAAGCCCTGCCCAGCAGCTCCGCGGGCCACTGGGCGGGGCCTGGGTCAGGAGGAGGCTGGGGGGGATCTGGAGCAGTCATTTGTGAGAGTGAAGGCCTTGAATGGATGGAAGGAGCTGGCCGGCTGGGGAAGTTTGGAGGCTGCCTCCTTCTCAAGGAGGAAGAGGGGTCTAGCGTTGGCTGCAGACCTTGTCTCTCCCCCAGGCTCCTCAGATGCCCAGGCTCCCCGTGTCGAGGCTCCATCAGGGCCCGTGGACCTTCCTGGGGTCTGGGAACTCGGAGGAAGGAATTTGAGACCTCAGATGGCTCAGATAGGGGAGGAGATGCTGCCCCAAGCCTGTTGTCTTGCCCTGTGACTCATAGCATGGCAGAGGGGAGACAGCCCTGGGCCTGGAATCAGAAGGCATGGTTTTCAGTCCTAGTCCTGCTATTGACCTAGTGACCCGAGCAGGTTGTGGCCCCCCTGGGCCTCAGTGTCTCCATCTGCACACAAGGAGTTGAGTTTACTCAGATCTGATGCTGCAGCTCCGTGCTCCATGCAACCTGGTGTTTGTGTACCTTCCCTTCAGGCAGATCTTAGATGTAGGGGAAGAGGGGTTGTGAAGGGAGCAGCAGTCACCCTGGAATGACTGCCTAGATTTCCTTCCTCTCTCTGGTCTGTGTCCCTGTACCTCTTCCTCTGTGACACTCACCTGAGAATTCTAGGTCGGTGCGAAGGCCCTGTGATGAGTCCCTCATGGGCCACCCTGAGGTCTGGTCCCTGGCTTTGCTCCTCACTTGCTCTCCAGCATTAGGAGCCGGTTCCTCCTTGGAAGTTAGAGTTTGGGTAAAGCAGGTGCTCATACCCAGTTTGAGAGCACTATCGAGGGTCTCTGACTCCATGCGGAAATCGGGGAGACCATGGTAGGAAAGGGGCCATTGCCGGGGACAGCTGGGCAACCCAGCTCCCCTCGGTGATGGAGAGAGCACTGCATTAGGAGTCCCAGCCCACCCCCCACTTAACTGCCTGTGACTTCCCACGTGGCCTCGGGGGAGCAGGGAGAAGGTGAGACAACTTCTGAAGGGGCGCCTGTCATAACGGCCATGCTCGTGGTTCCCCACATTGTCAGGGGCGGTCAGTGGGGGCTGGGCTGTGGAGAAGCAGGGCAGGAAAGCCCCAGAAGAGTTGTGTTTGTGCCAGGGATGCAGGACAGAGGCCAAGGGCAGATCGGAGCAGGAAGGCAGTCGGTGGGGACTGTGATGGGAAAAGCAGAGGCGTCAGAAGAGACCCAGGGAGGGAAGTGACTTGCCCATAAATGGGTTTTGGCCTCCTAACCCAGTGCCCGATCCACAGCACGGAGATCCCCTCCATCTTTGGCTGGCGGTCAGGTCTGGGGGTGGAATGGGTGGGAGCCATCCGTAACCTGCTCTTCCTCCTGGAGCCCCCCCGACCACCAGGCCTCTTGGCTGGCAGAGCAGCTGGGATGCTTTGTGGCCATCCCCCTCTTCCCGCCCACGCTCAGGGGCTTGGGGAACAGAACAGGGTGCTGGGCAACTGGGGGCCCTGCCCAAAGCACCTCCCTGCCTCCAATACCACCACGTGGGCTCGCTCAGCCACCTGTCCCAAAGCTCCCTTAAGACACTTGTGCACTGTTGTTCTGAGGATGGACATTTATTAACACACCCAGGTGTGCCACACAGAACATGGATTCAGACAAGGGGCCCTGCCCACGGGGGCTCACAATCTAAATGAGACAGGACACATATACATACACAAAGGACACAGACACAGGGAGCGGGGCATCTTCAAGGGACACAGGTGGTCTGGGGAGCCACGGGCTGGGGCGTACAGTGTGTTCAAGCTGTGTCCTTCTGGTTGTCTTTGTGAGGGAGGCAGAGGAGGGGAGCACGTACATAGCCCAGGCCAGCCTTCCGGAAAGCAGTGGAACCAGGGGGGACTTGCAGGGGAAAGAGAACACCAGAGGGCAGTGGTCCCAGGCACAGGGCCGGTTGGGCGAGTGTCTCAGCGTCGGCATGGGTGAAAAGAGATCCAACGACGCGTAGGCAGGACACCGAGGCACAAAGTCCAGGAGGAGGCCTGAACCCACAGCAAGGGGCTGCCACCTCTGCCCGGCCCGAGCCGTCCCTGCTTTCAGGCCCGGTTTTTCAGAGCTGTTTTCCCAGAGATAGCGCGAACAGAAGTTTTGACAAGGGGTACGCTTGAGGGTACTTACCTGACCCTAGGGCTCCCTCCAATTTCTGGACAGAGATCAGAAGCCAAAAAGAAAGAACCCACCTTGGAACGGGACATTTAAACCAAGTTGTCAGGAATGGATGGGGCAGAAAGGGAGAGTGCGGGCAGCTGTGGGGGTGGGGTGGAGAGCCTTCGTGCAGCACGAGGAGCTGCCAGTCAAACGCCCTGGGGAGCAGGAGGCACAATGGCCCCCTTCACTCCGGGGTGGGACAGAGGCCAGCAGGTGGGCACATAACGACACAGGGGTTCTTGTTCTTTCTGTGCCTGTAACAGATGGAGCATCTGACTTCTGAAGGACCCCGAGAGCTGGCCGGCCTCAGCTTCCCCCGAGCTGTGTGTAGGGAGCGAAGGAGGGGGTGGGGTGGTTATTGCTCTTCTGTGGACTGAGGGATCTGAGACGGGAGGAAGGAAATAGCTTGCTGGGGGCCACAGTGGCTGGAGAAGGCCAGGCCCTCAGGCTGGGACTGGCCATGGGCTCTTTTGAGTTGGATAGACATTTCCAGCCCCAAAAGATTAAACCAGAAAAGGGTGGAGAGAAGCCACAGGTCCAGCCAGCAGACCCGGAGCCCTTTCCTTGTGTCCTTGAGGACCAGGAAGGAGGAGGAGATGCTGGCCTGGAACCACAGTGGCCCAGCGGGAGTTCAGGTGGTGGTGGGGAAGGTGGAGGGTCCCCCTTTGGTTTGTCTGACCTGCCTTGGAGAGTGATGAGGGTTCCCTAGGAAGCGAGGGAGGGGATGTCGGGCTGGGTGAGCAAGAGGGGCACCCCTCAGACCTCGAGGAGACCGCACCCCCAGCAAGCCTTGCTTCAGGCCTGATCCAGGAGCCGTGGCTCATCCCGCTTTCTGGGTGGGTTCTCATTCTAGATCTGAGGATCGGCGGGAAGGCCTTACCCACCAGTAAAGCCAAATCCCAAAGGTGACAAGGGGAGACAGCCCCAGGCTCCCCATGCCCCTCACCCCACTGCCTCTTCCCCTGGGAGGTGAGGGAGGGCTCGGACCCACGGAGGAAACAGCCAAGGCCCTACATTTTCACGATCCTTTATTAATCAGAACGGGCCTTGCCACAAAAAGCAGGGCCCATTCCCACAAAAATATGATTTTGCAAAGAGGAAATCTTGCTGGCTTAGAGGGTGCGTGTGGTGGAAAAACTTTGCCTGGTTCTTTTGTCCTTTTTTTTTTATTTCCTTCAGTTTTTCTTCATTTCTCTTCACTGCAAATTTTTTGCGAGAGTGGGTTTTTGTTTTTGTTATAAAACACTTGCGCTCAATGACTCACACAATACAGACAGGGGCCACCAATCCCCACCCCTGGGGCCCCAGCCAAGCTGGGGACTCTGGGGGCCCCCCTTGGCTTTTGTGTGGCTGTTTTCCTTGTCCCTTCCCAGGCGTCTGGCGCCGGTGGGCAGGTGTGGGGTCCTGGGGTAGGTGGAATTTGTACAGTAGTTATGTGGGGAGATGGTCACAAGAAAAGATACCGAACAAGGAAACAACTAAGTCTAGGGTGCCCACGAAGATGGCAGATGACGCTCATGAAGGGACCTGGGACACAGTGAAGAGATAGATGGGCCCAGGTGGCCTCGGCTATCCCTGGAGGCCATGGGGGGAGGGGCGGGTGGGCCTCGCTTTCAGGCTGCGGTAATAATACTTTGCTCACTCGCGGGTAGCACCTTCAGAGTCCTCCTGCCTCCACCCCCAGGTCAGGTGACGGCCGCCTCACAACCTCCCTTATGAGGTAGGTGAAGTGTTATTACCATCATTTTACAGATGGGGAAACTGAGGCCCCGGGAGTGTGGGTGATTTGCCTAAGGTCCTGGGATGGTGGCCGGGCTCCAGTGCCCTCCCCCACCCTCAAGTTCCCCCATTCTCTGTTCTCCTATGGCCTCAGACCGCCCCCGCCCTCATCCCACACCACCCGCCTCCTCCAGAGCCAGCCCTTGGCCCCCCACTCGCCGCCCCACCACCGCGTCCCGGAGCTCCGACTGGACGTCCGGGGTTGGGGAACCCCAGGCCGGGTTAACCAACGTGCCTGGGTGGGGTGAGACTGGGAACAGACTCCGTCCGGAGATGCTCTCTGCATATGATTGGCTAAGAGCTCCGTGGGCGGGGCTCGGGGAAGGATGCAGTTGCCCCGCCCACTCAATGCCAGTTGGTTTAGCTCGAGGGCTGCGCCGCAGGAGTGGGGCCTGAGGGCCTGGGGCCGGCTCGCTCCCTCGCCCGCCTCCCCCGGAGTGGAGGGCGCAGGATCTAAGAGAGGGCTGGAGGATGACAGATCCCTTCTGCCTCTCAAGGCAGCACACAGCCTCCGGAGTCGCTGGCCCTCCCATCCCCGCTGGGGGCTGGCTCCCGGCCCGCCCTGTTAGGACCGTGCGGTTGGGGCAGACCCCCATTTTAAGCAAAGCTACAATAGAGAAAAATCTGGATTTACAAGGAATGTGGGTGACTGTTTGCTTTACATGAGCATTCTTCACGCTGCAAAATGATTCACCTACTCTGTACTCGAGTCCTCCAGATCCGAGGGGGAGGGGTGGGCGAGGGGTGTGAGATCCACTGTAAGAAAACTTTGATGTGGGCAAAAACGCGACCCGTCTACTGCACAGAGCGGAATGCTCAGCTCAAGGGGAAGCCTACTGAAGGAAAATGGTTCTCGAATGCCGATGCGCTTGCCGTGCTCTGTAAGTGGGGACCCTCCCTAGAGTCTCCTTTCCTGGGGTGTCAGGCCCATGGCCACAGACCGTGGTGTCCGGGCGCCACCTGGCGGTGCGTGCGGGGAACATCAGGCCCCGGCTGGCGGACCCTGCCTTCGAGGCTGTCACCTCTAAGACCCGCGTGGGGAGGAGCCGGCCAAAGCAAGGACCATCCCGAAATCTGCTGTCGCCGAGGGAAAGCCAGTTCTAGTCTCTGCAGCAGCTGAGGCGGAGAAACCACAGCTTCTTGGTGGGGGGCAACTTCAGAACTCATAGGATCCTAGAATTTTTCCCCTGCTTCCTCTGCCTGAACTAAGGGGGGCAGAAGGAGTTGCTCTGAGGGACGGGCGCGCGGGGAAGAGGAGAAGACATTCCTGGAGGTCGGGCGATGGAAGATCAGAAATCACAACAGGGAAGGAAATGGAAGGCCTGCAAGCAAGGGGGATGGAGGGATGGGGCGTGCGGGTGGGGAGGTGTGCACAGACAGAGACATGAGGGAGGGGAGGGAAGTGGGAAAATGTGGAGAATATTGCCAACGTGGCTGGGAAATGAGATCTGGGAAGGTTGAGGGTGTTTTCGGATGAGACTGTTAGGGAAGAGAGTTAGTGGGGCTCGGGACCCCTGGGAAGGAAGGGAGCAGGTGAGTCCGGGTGGAATGTGGCACGTACAATAGGTACCTGAAAGACGTGAGGCGATGTTCAAGAGATGAAATCACTGCAGAAGAAGCTACTGGAGAACTCTGAGCAGAGAGGGGCACTGGGTGGGGGCAGGATGGCAGGAGGCAGCCCAGTTCTCAGCCCAGCTCCAATGTCTGCCCCTCTTTCCCTCGTTTCCCCCTCCCTGCCCCACTCACCCCTCGCCTGCCTCTCCTCTCCCACCCCTGCTCTGTGCATGGACCTCTCCCAGCCTCCAGCTCCACCTCACTTCAGGAAATGCTGCCCTCTCTGCATAACCTTCAGCACTGCCGGCCCCAGGGGGACAGGGAGCAAGCGCCCCCACCTCCATACACACACGCGCGCGCACACACACACAGGCACGCGCACACACACACATGGTGAACACAACACAAGTACACAGGGCTGCGGCTCCAGGACCCCGGAGCAGGCTATATGCTATCGTCGGCATTCAGGGCCCAGCCGGCACCTGAAACTGTGCTGGGACGGGCCTCTCCTGGCCAGGCCGGGGACGAACGCCTCGGCCTCCCCGCTTCCTGGGCCCACCTCGTGGGCTGGGGAGGGGGCAGCTTCTCTCCACTCCAGGCACTGCCTTAAAGAAAACGGGGGACCGTGCCCACCTGGCGGGCCTCTGGAGGGATCTGCCCATCTGCCCATCTGGCTCGTGCTCTCCCCCACTTCTTTAGTATCAGCAAGTCAGGAAGGGAAGGGGCAAAGCAGGAAAATGGCTCCCAGAGCCCCTCCCCCCGAGCTGGACTGGTGGAGGATGGGGCTGGTACTTCCTAGAAATGGGGCCTGATGGATTCCTGGGACCCCTCCCTGGCCGAGCCCTCAGGGTCCTCCCCTCACCCATGGCAGGGGGGCCAGGCCGGGCGTTGTGCATAAAGTGAGGGCGTGATGGGGACCCAGGCCCTTGGCCCCCTGGGCCTCCCTTGGCCCCACTCAGGCCTTCAGCTGGTGCCACTGGGCCACAGGCTGCCGGGGACGGGCAATCATGTCCTTCCAGTGTTTCACCTCCCCGGGCCCGCTCTTCCAGGACAGGTAGATCTGGGGAGAAAGGAAAGAGGATGGCATTAGTGGTGCTCTCTGAGGCATTGTCCCCTACCCCCCCAGGGGGTGATACTTCAGCTCCACAATGACATGATCATGGGGACAAGGGGCCTCCCCCTGCAGTGACAACCTACTCCATAGAGACCTCATCCCCCCTCCCCACTGCCAGCGTGGCCCATTTTCCTTGCTGGGCCTCCCCTGGGAGCCCGGGTATGCCTGGCCCTTTCGAATTAGACTCCCGACTCGTTTTGTTTGAGGTAGGTATAGTATTACCCCCATTTTACAGATGGAGAAACGAAGTTGGAGAGAGTTAAGAGACTTGCCCCCAGTCACAGAATTTATAAGTGGGGCAGAGGGATTCAAATCCAGGTCTTTTTGGCTCTACACTAGCAGCCCGATCCTGTCGGCCTCTATGGTAGGGGCTCCCAGCCTCATGGGGCTGCGTGCATGATCCCCCAGCCTTGTGACTGGCGGGTGCCTAAGAGCACAGGGCTCCCTAAGCTCCCAGGCCAAAGTGAGAAGAAATCCACCTCCACCTTGGTCCAGCCAGCGCAAGGCAGGACTGTTGAAAAGGAGCGATAATTGAGATCTCAGGACACCCAACTCCAAAAGGCTAAGCTGCAGGAAAGCTTAGAAGTGGATGTGGTTACTCAGCCCTCGGCCTGAGCTGGTCAAGGCAGGGGCTCAGCAGGCCCCGAGCCCTGCTCAGAACACACAGTCCCGCTGGTGGATGGGTGACAGCATCCTGGGGAACTGTCCCACCCGTGACCACAGGTCAGCCAGCCATGCTCCCTGGGCCTTGCTAGATGGCAGGCAGGCCAGCTCTCCTCTTTGAGGCCACCTTACTTCTGCTGCCCCCCTATAGCTGAGTTCTCCCTTTCTGTCTGTCTGCGGGTGCCTCCACCTCGGCCCCCTGCCCCGTTTACCCCATATTGACCCATGCCCCAGCAATCTGTCATGTCCCCTCACTTGCTTCTGGCATCCACCCTTCCCCTGCGCCCACCCTCATCTCTGGCTTCCTGCACTGTTCCTGGTCAAACCTCCGTGTCTGAACAGACACACGTGCCCTTATAGGAATGGCTCAAAAATAGCTTTTATTAAAAGAGTAGTTAACATATATGTGCCAAGTATTGTGCTAAGCAGCTCACCTGAGTTCTCTCATTTAACCCTCCCAGCACACGGTGAGGATGGGATTGTCTCACTCTCGTCTCAGGAGGAGGACATGAGGCTCAGAAAGGTTATGACTGTTAAGAGGTAGGGCTGGGACCTGGACCCAGGTGGGCTGACTCCCAAGCCCACACTCTCAACACTAAACCATAAACACACCCAGGACTAAACATTTCCAAGTGGAAAAATGGGAGGGTTGATGGCACAGACTCACATCTTAGAAAAACTCAAGGGCAGGCGGGGATTTTTTGTTAATGGACAATGAGGGGAGGTCATTTTCTTCAAGGAGGACATCCACGTAGCTCAGGCAATTCTTACAGCACCCTGGGAAGGGCTGTAAGGTCAGTATGAGGAGCTCCATTTACCAAGGAGAACACGGAAGCTCAGAGAGAGCAGTGACTTGCCCAAGGTCACAGAGCTGTTTAGCAGCAGATGAGGCGGGAACCGAAGCTGGGTCTTTGGAGTCTGACTGCAGCTCTCGACACTGCCCCACACGGCTCACCCTCTGCAGACGGGACCCGGGTGACACTGCTCTGAGGTCCTGACCCTGCCTGAGGATGCTGTCCAGAAAACCTCTTTTTGGATCCAGGGCACTTCTTTTTCCCACCTCCTGTTTTCCCTGCCCTTCCAGTGGTCTGTCCTGATCTGACGGACCCACAGGAGGACACTTAGGGAGGATCTCATCCAATCTCCTCATTTCAGAAATGGAGGCTCAGAGAGGGGAAGGGACTGACCCTCTCTCTCCTACTGCCCAGTCCTGCGCTCACCCACTACCCCTGATGCTTCTTCTTTTTTTGTGTGTGGTGAGAAAGATTGGCCCTGAGCTAACATCTGTGCCCATCTTCCTCTATTTTGTATGGGGGACGCTGTCACAGCATGGCTTGATGAGCGGTGTGTAGGTCTGTGCTCAGGATCTGAACCCATGAATCCCGGGCCACTGAAGTGGAGCGTGCGAACTTCACCACCACACCACCAGGCTGGCCCCTCCGCTGCTTCTTTTAAGGACAGACACTCGCTGGGTGCCGGGTGTGTGCACCACACCGCCTGCCTTGCCCCCTACCTTGCCGATGACGTCGTTGCGGCTGAGCTTGTCCTTGTCCATGACGGTGATGATGATGGTCGTCTCCCTCAGCTTCTCCGTGGGGATATCGAAGGCAAAGGACTCGTTGAAGATGGGGTTCAGGTTCCTCTTCATCGTCACCGTCTTCTTCTTCTCCACCCGCTTGTCCTTGTACATCAGCCACACCTTCACATAGGGGTCTGGGAGACGGGTCAGGGAAGGGTCAGAGGGGCAGTGGGGGAGTCCCCAGGATGCCCTTCCTCTTCCAGGTGTGGACGCTGGGGCAGGAGGAGCTGTGTGCTTTCCCCAGAGGGTGAGAAAGCCCCAAGCAACAATGAGGGGATCTTGGGGACAAGCGGATGGGGGAGCTGGAAGGGACCTTAGCCATCACCTGGTGCCCTCTAAGGAAACGGTGCCCCAGAGAGGCCAGGTCTCGCCTGAGGTCACAGACAAGTGATGTTGGAGCTGGGGCTAGAACCCAGGCCTCCACAACAGTGTTCCCTTTCTTCCCGATTCTGGGAAGGACAGAGCCCAAGGGGACGATGACCCCCGAGGGTGCTCCAAAGGGGGCCACCACCCAGGGCTCTAGGGCAGAGGAGCTGGTACCGGAGGTGGGGTGTGGGGGTCGGGCTGAGGGCCACAGCACGGACCCTGCTCTCCACATCCAGTGTGACCCCTGTGTCCCCAGAACCTCCCCGGCCCATCCACCCCATGCTGCGAGAAGGGCCAAGCACCTGACGTGCCCCCGATGTCCATGGCTTTGAGGTTCCGGGCTTTGATGATGTTCACGATGATGGAGTTGGCAGAGGGGTTGTAGCAGAGAGACAAGAGCAGCTCCCCTCGGCTCCCCTGGGAGGGACAGGGGAGGGGTGAGGCTGGGCTGAGGGGAGGGCTGTGGGGACCAGGGGGAGGGAGCGGTGGTCTAGCTCTCCAGTGGGCCCCAATGCCCCAGGCTCCCACCCTGACCTGGGTGCTTCCTCTGCCCCCCGTCTGTCATCTCTGTCACATGTGGTCTGCCCTCATCTGGCAGGTCTGGGCACCGCCCACGACAGGGCCCCCTGAGCAGAGCCCCGGTTCTTTGTCTCAGCTCAGGCAAGTCCCCCTTGGGACAAGCGCTGGTGGGAACTCTGCTCCCTTGGGGCGGCCCGTCTGCACCCCTCCCCACAACCCTCATGACGTCCCTAAGGCTGAGGGGCGGATCTGCCAGCCCTGAGCCACCAGGGGCCCACGGATGGGGCCTTACACTCCCATCGCTGCATGGCTTCAGATCCTTCCAGAAGGTCTGCATCTGGGTCAGGTCCACCTTGTTGAGGGGGATGGACACCTCCCCGATGGGGTCGTTGCGGCTGAAGCGGTCGTAGTCCAGCACCTGGAGGTAGAGGATCCTCTGCACCACCTTCTCGTAGGGGAAACCTGGGGACAGACAGCGCAGGTGAAGAGCGGGACAGAGAGCCACGGGGGCTGCGCAGGGCTGGGAGGCTCCCGGGCAGGAAGGCCCCAGGAGGAGGAGCAGCGCTGGCCCTTAGGCCGCCCACACCCGCATTCGGACCTTCCTGAAACGTTTCAAGGACTGTCATTGTCTCAATTGTCTCCCTTGACAATTCTCCGAGGTCGTTCTCCGAGGTCGATGGCATCTTGTCCATTTTACAGATGAGGAGCCTGAGGCTCAGAAGGCTTAAATTATGGGCCCAAAGCCCCACAGTTAATCAAGAGCAGAACTGGGGCCATTCGCTCACTCACCCACTCATCATGTGTCCATCTCGGTGGCCGGGCTGTGGCCCCCTTGCTCTCAGAGCAGCCCTGCCTCTGCCACTCGTCCTGAGGCAAGTCTGGGAGAGTGGCCCTGCCTGGGACAGCCACGGCTGCCAGAAAGCAAGCCCCAGGCGGGCTCGGGGCAGAGGGAGCCGGCCAAGGCATAGAAATAGGAGTGGATTCATGTCCTGGGACTCTGAGCTTGGCCTTCGCCTCCTTCCCACGCATCAGCCCGTCCTTCCCCAACAGCTCCTGTGGCCGCCCCCTTCTCCGCGGCCACCTCCCTCATCCAAGCCACCGGCACCCCGTGCCGACAGTCACAAGAGCGTCCAACTGCCCTCCTCCTCGCACACTCTCTCCTACAGTCCATTCTCAACGCGGCGGCCAGAGGCAGCTTTTAAAAATAGAAATCACATCATGATACTCTCCTGCCTACAGCCTCTCAATGGCTCCCGGCTCACTCAGAATAAAAGCCGTGTGCCCTGCCTTGGCTGCAAGTCCTTCCACAACTTGGCCCGCGGTCCTCTCCCTGCCCGTCCTGTGACCGCTCTTCCCTCAATGACTGGGCTCCCACCACACCCGCCTGCTTCACGGGCCTTCAGCCCCCGGCTTTTCCCCGCCTCCAGCACAAGCCGGCCCCCACCACGTCCCCTCCCAGCCTATTCTCTTCCATCAGGTCTCGGCTTTCTTTCCTGGCATCCCACATGGGGTCTGATCCCCCGATGTCCCGTTCTACACTCCAGCACTTTCCTTTCGCAGCGTGACTCCCAGGCTGTAACAGAGATTTATCTGTTTCCTTGAGTCTGACTCTCGCCCTCGGCCAGGATTTCCAGGAGGGATGTCTGTCCTCCCCACCGGATCCCGGCATCCCACGGTTTCTGGCACATAGTAGGTACCCGATAAACATGTTAAGTGAATCAATAATTGAACGAATGAATAAATGCCAGGGAAATGCCTGACGGAACAGCAGGAGTGTGCCGGGGTGGAGCAGGCGCTACGGCCGGGGGGAGAGCCAGGAGGAGCTGGGATGGGTTGGAAAGGTACCAGGGAGCCAGGGTAAGGTCTGGAGCCGGGGGATCTCTGGACCCTGGGAGGCTTAGATGAAGGAGAGGCCAGTCTGGGAGGTTCAAGGGGCACAGGCCAGCCTTGAGGCCTGAGGGGAGGAGACCTGAACCAGGAAGGAGAGAGGATGCTTAAGGTCTCAGCCCCATTGATGGAGAAGATGAAGAGGATGCTAGAAGCAGAGAGAAGCCTCTGATTGGAGCAGACCTGGAAGAGGAAATCCTAAGTTCCCTGAATCCCCAGGCTCTGAATTCCTTCAGGGTCCCTTCCTCATATTCAAGGGGGCTACGTCTTGCTCATCTTGGAGTTCCCCAGGCCACTTGCCCATGTGACCCTTGGCATCTATTCAGGTGAAATGCGTGAGGACAAACATTCTGGAAATCTCAGAGGCTCCCATAGGTCCCTACACCTGAGTCAGCTCCTTCAACACCAGAAGAGGCCATCTCCTATCTGGCAAACTCTTATTCATCCCTCAGAATCCATCCTGAATGGCCCCTCTTCTGGGAAATGTTCTCCAGCATCACCAAGGGGAGTTACGCAGTGTGTGGCCTAATTATCTACACATCTAAGTCCTCCATGAGACCAGGCCTGCCTTGAGGGCCATAATGCTTTTCTGCACCCCCAGGACCCAGAACAGTGCTCAGCTCATAGTTAATGCTAGGTAAATGTTTGCAGAAGGGACCGGTGGATTGGGGCTCTGCCCACAAACCTCACCCCACCAGCTGGCTACACACACCTCCAGACGGCTGAGCCTCTTGCTGGTTGTGCCATCTCTCAACTGGTCCCCATGCTGACCGGGGACGAGGAGCGTCCAGAAACACACAGAAGCACCCACTAGCTCACCCCCGATGACTGACTCAGTGGGTGAGCTGGGGGACAGCAGATGGAGAAGAGTCCCTGGGGCGTGCACAGAAGGTTCTGGAAAGCCAGGGCATTGGGCAGCTGGAGGGCTGCTGGGAAAGGGTTCTGGTTTCTCTAAGTGGGGTCCAGGCACCCAAAGGGCAGAAATTGCTCCTGAAGATAAGAAAGAAGGGCCTGCAGGAGAGAGGAAGGACATCTGCCTCCGTAGGGGCCACTGCTCCTGTGCGTCAGGAGGGGCCTGTCCCATGTGTGGGGAGGGGCGGAGGCTGGGAACAGACAGAGTGTATTTCACAAACTAGTAGAGTGTTTCCTGGGTGTCAGGCACTATTGTAAGTGCCTTTACAACTTGCTGATGTACTGACTTGAAACAGGCTCAGCAAGGTTCAGGAACTTCCCCCAGGTCACACAGCTAATAAGCTGGGCCTCAAACTCAGGCAGCCTGGCACAGCCTGTGCACTTAACCGCTACAGCTTGGTGGCCCCAGATGCCCCACCTCTACATCCTGTGGGTCCCTCCCTTCCTTCCTGCCCTCCTCAGGAAGAGTCACGTGTCTGGGCTGAAGCCCCAGCTGGCGGCGGCCCAGCTTTCTTCCTCGGCCTCTGGCTGTGATGCCAGCTCCACTAGGCCCTGTAACCCGATGCCAGCAAGACACAAAATGCATCAGGTTAGCTGGGCCAAGACAGAGCACACTCCCGTGTGCATCTATGCATGTGAGTGTGCTTGTCGGCTGGGGAGTGGGGAGGGGAAGAGGGACCCTGGGTGGCGGTGGGGGCCCCAGCCTCACCTTCAAAGAGGAAGGTCTCATTCCAGTGCGGGTTCAGGTTCTTCCGTTTCACCTTGGTCTCCAGCTTGTGCTTCTTGTCTGGCAGCAGGTAGATCTTGACAAAGGGGTCGCTGGTGCCGCTGAAGTCCTTGGCGGGCAGCTCCTGGGCCTTCATGATCTTCACGGTGAGCGTGGACTCCTGGAAGTTGTAGCCGACGCTGAACTGGATCCGGCCCAGGTTCTCTCGGCTGCAGCCCTCATGGGCCTCGTCCTCCTCGGAGCCTGGGGAGAGCTGGGGGCGGGGCGAGGCCAGCAGGGTTGGGGAGGATTCCGCTCCCCCAAAGCCCCCGCCACAGCCCACCTCAGTTAGGAGGCCTCCCTGGGCCCAAAGCCAGTCCAGCTGCTGAGAGCTGTGCTCTCTCCCTGGTCTCAGTGAGGGGCTGGTGGTGGCCCGTCCCACGTTCACATCTGGCTGAGGATGCTCAGGCAGAGGGCCGTGCCTGGACCAGGGTCACACAGGGAGGGAGAGAGGAGCCAGGACAGTCCCTGTCTCCTGAATCCCGCTCCCCAGCCCCAGGTCTGCCATCACCCCAGCCCCAGCCCCACCGCAGGCTGCCTTCGCCTCCCGGGTCATGGCTGTGCTGGTGCGCCCCAGGTCCCCGAGCTCCCTCCTCCGGTTTCCACGGCCCTGAGGGGCCCACTGTGAAACACACCAACGCAGACACCTGGACTCCAAAACAGATGTGGGGGATCGCTCACATCTCAAAAGAGTTTACCACGATATTTCTTTGCAAAGTGACTCTCTGGGGTTCTGAGGATGATGTGATTTACAAAATGAGAGAGGCGAGTTTTCAGGAGCAACGTCTGTTTGTGTAAGGCAGGGACACTAAAAACACGAATTCCTGGGCTCCGTCCCCAGGAGCCTGATTTGATGGGGTGGGGGGCTGGGCAGCAGAATTGTCTTAAAGGACCCTTGGATAACAGTGCTGCACACAAGGGCTGAGGACCCCTGGCAGAGAGGGCCACACCTGCCTGCAGTCCCCATCCCCCAGGGGTGGAGGCTTGGGCCAACCGGCAACGGACAGACACGTGGGGGGTGGCGTGGGTGGCCCATTCCCAGGCTGACCTTGAAAAAGTAGGAAGTAATTGGGGGGAGGGTCTCCCAGCCAAGTGTGCTAATCTGTGGCTGCTCACTGGGAACACTTGGGGAGGTTTTGGACTCCTGCCCGCCCCCTAGCCACCTGGATCCCGCCCCAGACCCTGCCCCCCCAACTCCAGACCCAGGGAGTCCACGTGGCTCAGGCATCCTTGTCTCTAAAAGCTCCTCAGGTGACTGGATGCGAGGTAGCCAGGGTGCGACCCAGGCTACCACATTTAAGACAAAACCACTGGCACCTGCTTCTCTCCCCCCTTCTCCTGCAGGAGGCTTCGCTGTGCCCCCAGGCTCTGAAATGCTAAATAATATGGATTATAAGAATACGTATAGTGTGCGCCTGCCACGGTGGAAGACTCTTATATCACCTTCTTACTGAATCCTGACAACAGCCGGGCAGTTATCACCACTCTCTAGCTGAGGAGACTGGCCCAGAGAGGTTAAGTCACGCGTCGAAGTTTGCACAGCAGTGTGACCCTCTCTGATTGGAAAGTCCACTCTTTCCACCAAAGCAGGCCCACATTCCAGGGCCATTTTGAGACTCCCCCTACAAGCCAGTGAGGCCTCACTTGCCCCAGGGGAGAAACATCCAAATCACACTAATAATAGTAACGACCACTTGCCTGGTCATGCCCTGCACTGTGCGCTTTGCGCTCATTGACTGCCTACAACATCCAGACGAGGCGGGCACTCCCACGTTCCAATTTGCTTTGGGGCACTAGGAGATTATTGTCGCAAGTCGCCTGTGAACCCGAGTCAGCGCCCAGCCTGGCCATCCTGAGCCCCTGACCAGCTGCCCTCACTCTCACACTCAGATCTGGTGTCTGGGGCTTCACCCGCCGCACCCCAGGTCTGCTTGGAGGTGGAAGGGGCCTTGGCTGCCTCCCTGGCTCTTCCTCACAGTGGGAGAAGGTCCCTCCAGCCCCCACCCCTGGATCCAGAGCAGAGCCAGGGAGCTGCATGCTCCACCCCAGGCCCGCGGTGCATGTGGCTTCTCTCCCCAGATCCACTTTTCCCCTGGCCTTCCTCTCCCTCCTTGTACCAGCCCCACTCCCTTTGAACCTCAGTTTCCGCATCTGCAGAACGGGACCTCAAGACCTATCTTGTGGGGATCCTGGTTGGGGGGGGGGTCCATGTCCCTTCCACAGTCCTCCTCTGCAGCCCGGCCCCAGGCTGTTGCTGTTGCTGTGGACCAAGACCCTGGAGCGTGCCTGAGCACACAGAGCCTGCAGGCCATGTGTCCCTCCCCATTCCTTCTAAAATTGAGGTGGAGTCCCTGGTGGCCCCAGCCCCGCCTGAGGTCCCTCTGGTCACTTGGCTCTTGGTTCCCAAACGAGGTGGTCACGTAGGGGTGGGTGGGAGGCCCAAGCTGGGCCAAGTGGCCTTCACCTCAAAAGGGGGCAGCAGCTTTGTGCCTGCTCCCAGGCTTTCCGAAGCACAGCTCTGAGCCCTAATTAACCAGCCGGGGCAGCTCCAGGAGCTGTCTCCACGGCAACCAGGCTGGCCATTCCCCCCCACTTAGGCCCCCAGGGAGGTGCCGCCTGAGCCCCTGCTCCAGCTGAAGTTAGCATCAAAAAGCATCCAGCTAGCCCACAGCAGGGTAGTGTGGGGTGACTCAGATGGGGGTGTGGCCCGGCCTCCTCTCTGACCCCCTCCTCTGGATCTCTTCTTCTGGCCAGCTGTGGGTGCCTGACTCCTCCTGTCTCCTGACCCCCAGCTTCTGGCAGCCTAGGGGAGCTCAGACAGCGGTTTACTTCTGTCCTGCTCATCTTTGTCATCGCTATTAATGCCAGTGACCTAGCTTTGGCCTAGGGCTGGACAATTAGACCCTGCTTGCCCCGCTCTGAGCATCCGCTGGGGCCTGCACTTCCTTCCTGTGCCTGTGGCTGTCGGCCCCTCCCTGGGGATAGCAAGGGGCAGGCAAGCTGGCTGGGAAAGGGCCGTCCTTTCTGGGAACCTGGCTACCAGGAAGCTGTAACCAATTAAGAAGCCGTTCAGGGAGGCAGGATGGGCTGTGGCAATGGCCCGTCCAGACGAGAGGATGGTGGGTCCATCCACATGGGCAGGGGAAGACGGACGGGAGGGCAGCGGAGGGCCAGGCCTGGGGGGTGGGGAGAAGGGGGAGAGGTGGGGAGGCCCAAGAGAGACCAGCTCTGGAACAGGGAAAATCTGGTGTTCCAAACTACATCCAAGAGAAACGGAAACTCTTGGCCCCACCTCCGGCCCGCTGCCTGGGAATCTGCATTTTTAACAAGATTCCCCTGGTGATTCATGTGCATATTACAATTTGAGAGGCACTGGGCTGGAAAAGGGCAGTGGGGGTGGATGGTTAGAGCCGGCTGGAACCCTAACTGGCAAAGGATGAGGTCTGGTGCTCTGCGGGCCTCAGGAGGGTGGCGGCCGCTGGTGCCAGAGCAAGAGAAACTATGAACTGAATGACGTCAGGACCGCCGACGGCCTGAGAGCCCACCAGGCCCGCGTCCCCTCTCTCTACCAGGTCACGTCCAGTAGGATCACAGCAGGCGCCAGGTTCCGGGCCTCACGTCCTCTCCAAGCCGTCCTAGGGCTTCTGAGCTGCCAACCTTTACCTGACTCCTGCCTGCAAACCTCGGCTGCCCAATCAGAGTGTCCTCATCCTGCAGGTCCCGCCCCTCCGGGGGCTCTTTGGAAAGCATAGCGGGGCTAATGGCCGTGACTCACCGCTGCCACCAGGGGGCGCCATGTGAAGCCACAACCTCTCCCGGGGTGAAAACGCGCAGAACCATGGGGCTGGGATCCTGGTGGGGCGGCACGTGGACAGAAGGGATCATGACCAGGGGGGGAACCTGCTCTCCTGTTCTCTTTGGGCCTCAGGTGGCTCCCCAGAACGGGGGTTGGGGGAGGTCCCTGGGATGAGGATATGAGCCTCGCTCCCCTGGGAGCTCCTCCTCAGACGTCCACTCGGTGGGACCCACGCCACTCAGGGAGGGGACACCTCCTGTCCCAAGTCCTCTGCCCACTGGCCTTTCCTTCTAGGATCATAAAAATACTTCCCACGAGCACGTTTCCGTAGGCCGCAGCACCACCGAGAAAGAGGCTGGAGGAGGATGGGCATTCTTATTCTCACCTGACAAACGAGGAAACTGAGGCACAGAGAGGCTATTTTGGCGAAAGAGCTGGGAAAAGAACCCAGGCCTCGCTCACTCAGTCACCGTGCTGGTTCGCCTTCCTGAGCCAACTTCGCCAAACACTGTCACCAATTTCCACGCACGCTCCTCCCCCCGCCTCCCAGCCCCGCCCCTCTCACCATGAGCATCTCGCTGGTGAGGGAGTTGACGAGGTCGGAGACGGAGGAGCGCGGCTCTGTCCGGCGGTCAGACTCATCGTGGGGCGTCTGGCCCGGCACTGGCGCTGTGTTCACCACCTTCCCTCCTGTAGGCAACCTGGGGGCGGGGCAGGGGGTCCGAATGAGCTTGGCTGGGGAGGTGCGCTGGGCTGGGCACCACGGGCCTGGGTGGCGGCTGGACCTTCTCTGAGACCCAAGCAGCGGCCACCTCCAGCGGGCCGGCAGGAGCTATGCTCTTGTCCGGGGGAGCCTGGTTTTCCCCTGAGACCAGCGCTCAGGGCTCATCCCCCTCGGCTCTGCCCCAGAGTGATATGGCTTGGCTGTCCCTGTGGGTGCACCCACACCTCCTATTGACCAGAAAATCCCCTCGCTCCAGTCACTGCTTGCATGGTGGTCTCTGAGCATGCCTCCCTCCCCAGAAGCCCCCTCACCCCTGCTGGCCCCAGCCCGGGAGGGGAAGCTCCCCAGGTGGCCTGTCCAGGTCACCTCTCCCCGTCATTACCCTCTGCAGACACACCCAGAGCGCCCATCTCCTGAAGGCACCACCTTCGTTTATTCAGGCTCAGCGAGAACAGACGTGCCCGTCAGACACGAGACTGACCAGGCGAGCTCAGGACCACTGTCCACACAGCTCTGTCCAGTAGAACTTTCTACGATGACATCAGTGTTCTATATCTGCACTGGCCACGTGTGGCTACTGAGCATTTGAAATGTGGCTAGTGAGACTGAGGACTGAAGTTTTAATTTGGTTTGACTTCATTTAGATTTAAATAGCCACCCACTGGATGCGGCAAGTCTACCTCTCCTTGCTCCCCAGTGCCCACCCTTCTCCCACTCTGACCACTGCACGTGTGATAAGGCTGTCACTCAGGGTCAGAGGAAGACGGGGCGCCACTGAGGAGCCCCGGATCTGACTGTTCCACGTGAGGCCCTGTCTGCACCCCAACTCCAGGCTGTTCCCAGGAAGCGGGGCTCTCTGGCCCAGTGGCTGGGTTGTGAGCCCAGCCTCCGTCCAGCTGGGGCTCAGAAAGGGGGCACTAAAAGGCTGCCCAGGGACCAGGCTGGAACATCCCATGAGGAGGAGAGGTGGGGGCAGGCAGCTAGGAAGAGACGGGGAGACTGGCAGCACGGGGCTTGAGACAGGCTACAACAGAACAGCTTTGAGAACCAGAGCCACAGACTGAGACACACACAGGCTGGACACAAGCCATGGCCTCGGTATGGACCAGCCGCCAGCACACAGTTGGCCACCACAGGCAGACATGCACGGAATATGCCGGGCCCTGGAGGGGAGACACCAGGGCCCAACAGCAAGGCGTGCACACACAGGCACACACACACACACACACACGAGTGCACACAAGCCTGACACTCAGAGCAATAGGGAGAGAATAGGAGGGGCAACCAGGCAGGTCACCAGAGCAGTGAGATGACACATATACAGCAATGCACACACTTAGATCCGCAGAGAAAACATTCAGGGGGGACCCAGGCATGCCCAGGTGTGCACATGAATTGGGATAAACTGAAACAGAAAAAGCAGGGAGCGGTTCCAGAATCGGACGCACGACGCACCTGCTGTGAGAACCTGGGCTTGCCTGGACGACACAGAAATGCCCCACCCCGCCCGGGACACAAGGGGCGTCTGTCCCAGAGGTGCGGCCACAGCAGAGCACGCACATACAGGACACACACACGGACACACACGGCAGAGCATACACACACATGAACACACGCACGTGGACACGTGCTCACGCAGGCAGGCACGGGGAGGAAGAGGAGACTGAAATAGCTGGAGAGGTAAAGTCAGGTTAAAAATAGAGTGGGAGAGGAGGAGAGAGCATGAGATTGACTGCTGCAGGTATGAGAAAGTCGGAGTTATTTTGGCCACACCACAGCGTCAGCACAGCTGCAAAGCAGCCTGGGAAAAGATGGTCAGCGCCACGGAAGCTATCGGAGGTCACAGGACAGAGAGAGACAGAGAGACAAGGGCACAGAGAGGCAGAGGGAAAGGCGGAGGGGCCCGTCGCTGGCCCGGGGACATCCCTGTGAGGAGCAGATGGGAGGAAGGAGGGGGGAGAGAGAGAGGCCAAGAAGGGTTAGTCGGAGACGAGTGAAGAAGGCTGCAGGGCGGACAGGGGGACAGGAGGAGCGAGCGGCCGAGGGGAGAGGCGGAGAGGAGGCAGGGGGCACACACCAGGACAGAAGAAACATGGTGGCTTCGGGGCAAGGAGAGTGATGGGGTGGCCAGGTCCCCGCCCTGCCCAGCGCCCCACTTGGGTGGGGGTGGGGCCACGGTGGAAACCATTTGGATCCCAAGGAGCAATGGTGGAAGGGATGGCTGAGAGCATGCGGTGGGGATGGGTGCAGGGCGGAATGGGCACAGCTGGGCATGGGACCCAGGGGCGGCCTTGGCCTCCTTCCCTCCCTCTCTGGCCCAGGAGCATTCTGAAGTTCTTGGGGCCCACTGTGCTGAGGCCCAGGGACTGGTGGATCCCAGATGGGGGTCTTCAGGGCCACCAAGAATCCTGGCAGTGGGGGGCAGGGACACACCTTCCCATCTCCGTGTTGTTTGCTAGACGCAGCCCGACCTCCCCTGGGACCTAGAGCGGCTGCTCTGCCTCCTGGGGCCCTCCTGTCTCCCAGGAGCCTGCTGCTAACAGACCTCAGGGGCTCAGCATCTTCCCCAACAACAGCCACCCACCCCTTACTCTGGAGACATCTGGCAGAGGGATCAGCTGGGTGGAGAAAGGGGGACTGGGGCAGAAGGGCAGACCCTGAGTCTGGAGGCAGAAGCTGAAGAGGAAGAGGCAGCCGGCCCAGGCCCACTATTCCAAGGTCCAAGGAGCCAGAAGCCCAGAGGGCTGGAGCCCTAAGGTGCCCGTGGCCTGGTGGGTGGTACCAACGCCAAGCTTGGGATGGGGAGAGTGCTGGGGAGGAGGCGCTGGATTCCGGACACCCTCGCAACGGCCAGTCACCCCAGGGGCCATGAGAAATGAGTTTCCAGGATGGGGTGGGTATGACCAGGTGGGAATGGCACGGGTCCACTCGGAAAGTCAGGGCAGGTGGGGGCCAGGGCCGGTGGCCTCCCCCTCCACACCCCTCTTTCCCAGGAAGGCCAGGGACAACTGATGTAATGATCAGAAGGGATGGGTGTGTTAAAATATGGAGTGAGACCTGAGTGGCAAGGAGGTAAATATAGGCTGTGGGTGAAAATGGAGCCAGTTAATTAACACATGGGTGATGAGAAATCTCGTTTCCAGCCTGCATGTGTTCCCTCACGCTTCACACCTCTCCCGTCAAGGGCTCGGGTTCTTAGCAGGCTTTTGGAGGGCTCCGGCCCCCCTCCTGCAGCCTCTCGCCTCTGGCCCCCCGGCCCTCTCCCCGTGGCCCTCAGGCCTGCCTGCAGCCCAGCTCTGAGGCCCCAACCCAGGAAGCCGGGACTCCTGTAGCGCCAGGTGTGTTGGAGGGGGCGGGCTCTGTTCCTCCCGCACCCTAGGACTCGGGCTCAGGGTGTGACACCATCTGTGCCACTGAGTGAAGCTCTCCCCTCCCACTCTCTGGGGACTTCCAGCTATGCCTGGGGACATGCAACTGGGGACTCGAGATGGGGAGAAAATGAGAAGGCTGGTCTCCAGAAGCCACCAGAGGGACAGGCAAGTCAGCTAATTCTTGGCCTAACCCTCCCTAGCCCACAGGCCCCTGGCAGCAGCCTGGGACAGTCCCCTCCTGCCCCTAAGGGCCTCTTCAGGAAAGTCAGGGACTCTAACAAGTGCCCCAGCCCGAGGGCCTGTTCCCCTATGAGAAGCTTAGCATGTCCCAGCTGGAAGAGGTCACCCTGTTCAAGCCTTCATTTGACAGCCCAGGAAGCAGAGGCCCAGAGAGCCTGTGACTTGCCCAAGGTTGCAGAGTGAGGCTCTGGCAGAACCAGAGCTAGAAGGCCAGCATCCTGCCTGCTAGGCCACATGCTCTCCTGTCTGATGAGAAGCAGACCTGACCAAGATGATGAGCCATCCTCCCACGACCACAGGTGTGTGGCCACCCGGCCCAAGGCCAGGAGCAAGGAGGCGGCCAGGCGAGGGTCACCCCACCTATGTGATGCCACCAGAGCCCTAGGACCTCCAACCTTTCCCAGTCCCCCTCCCGAGGGCTCCACCCCCTCCTCGAGATGGGGGGGCATCAGGAGATGCTTCCCTGAGTTCCTGGTGGCCGAGGCTATGGACCGCTATATGCCTAGCCCTCTCTCAGCCTGTGTGGTGGCCACACGGGCTACTCCTGGTTGCCACAGGGCCCTGAGAGCCAGCAGCGGAGCTCCCAGCTGCTCTCGGCTCCTTACCCCGTTCCCTCCTCCTGGTGTCTCAAGCTCAGGGCTGCTTTTCTGGTTCTTTCTGGTCACCGGGCCTCTCCCATGGCCCAGACCCTCCCCCCACGGGGCTCTTCCATCAGCCAGCAGCCCAGTCACCCCCTTGCAGCGGGTGTTCCAGGCACGAGGGAGGTTGCGGTGGCGGGGATGAGGGAGACTAGGCTGGCGCCCCTTCCCTAACATCCCCCCCACCCACCAACCACCAGAGAAACTGGGATTTCCGGGTCGGGGGTGGGGCAGAGATGAAGGATGAGGGGGCAGCAGAGGGGGGCCAAGCAGGAAGATGGGGCAGACAGGCTGGCTTGCTCCGGGCGAGGGCAAGCGTGCCCGGGAGCAGGCTTGATCCAGAATGGTCCCAGGACGGCCGCATGGCCTCAGACCCGGGGGACACCACCGGGGTGGCGTGTGTGAGGGCACCGGCTGGGGAGGGGCTGTCCTCCCGCTCAGCATCCGCTGAAGGCGCCGCCACCTCGTCCAGCAGCCGGGCCAGTGGAGGCAGGTGGCCCCTCCGCGCCTCCTTTTCTGCCGTTGCCGCCGCCGCAGGCCCTCGCCTGTGCTCGTACCTCTTGTCCCCCTGAGCGTTCTGGTTCTGCTGGGTTCCTGGGTTTTGCAGGTCAGGGATATTGGCAAAGTCATCCTGTTCCGAAAGCCCTAAGACCAAGGATAGCACCACCATCCGGCCTTCCCTGCCCGGGGTGGGGGCAGCCCACCAGCCGGGGTGACACGAGGAGGCCCCATAGGCGGGGGCAGGGAGGGGAAGGAGAGAGAGACAGAGACAAAGAGAGAGAAGAAACAAGCGTAAGAAACTGGCCCTGCAGGAGAGAAAACAAACTTCAGCACTGTCAACAGTTGGAGAGCAGAGCAGGGTGGAGGCGGGGAGGGAGGGGATGGAGGGGAGGCGTCCACGGCCTGAGGTCCAGCTCGCCTGGGGCCAGAGCAAGATTCTCTGGAGAGAAACGGGCCAGGGCTGGGCAGAGGCCTGCTGAGATGGCATGTGGATGGGACCGTTCCGAGGAGACACACGGGGAAGGCTGGGGGGGAGAGCGGAACACAGGCCCTGGGACACGGCCGATTTCTAAAGCTAATTCATCTCCCTTCCCACCATCCGGGCCCCTGGGAGAAGAGGGTCGGGCTCTGTCACCATCTTGCGACTGTGCAGGTAGGTTTGGGAGGTTCTTGGAAAGTTTGGAAATCCAGTGGGCACCGCGCCCAGGCTTCTGGAAGCCCCTCGTAAAGACATGTCTCGGTCATGGTCAGCCAGATGTCCTTGATGCCAGGAGGGGTCTTAGGAGCTCCCTCCCCCAGTCCCTGGCCTCACAGCCCTTCAGAGAAGAATGGAAGTCCCTTTAGGCACACGGCATGTGGCCATCGTGGGCCTTCTCCTGTGTCCCCCTTCCCAGACACCCAGGGAACCACCACCAAGGTTTGTGGGTCCAGTCCAGGGGCCTTTCCTTGGGGAAGTCGTCCAGAAGACACCAAAAAACAAAGGTGGAGAGAGAGAAAGTGCAGAAACTTGGCAAGGTCTGGAGAAGTCCCGGCAGGACTCGAGGGAGCCTGTGTGCACAGCGAGGACAGTGTGGAGGAGGCTGGGCAGTCGAGGCAGACAAGGAGAAGGCGAGAACCCCTCGGAGCTGACGTGTGGGCAGCAGTGTGGGGCCGGAGGTCCAGCTGTGACATCTTTAGAATGGAGCCTTCTCAGAGAACTGCTGGACAACTGCATTTTCCAGGGATGAAAAGTGACCTGCTACCCCTCAAAACCACCTGAGTTTGTGGGCATTTTCTGGATGTTTCGTGGAGCTCATCCAGCGTTGGTTCTCTCATCCAAACAAAGGGACAGGGATTCTTGGATGGGGCAGGCATGAAGGCATGACTCAAGAAGGGCCAAGGGAAAGATGGTAAGCCTGACGGAATGTTCCAGAAGTCTACAACTTCAAACCATCACCCAGGAGGGCAAAGTTTAGAGAGGAACAGCTAGCTATGGCTATTTCCCAAAGAGGTTGTCAAAAAAGGACCTTTAGGGGCCAGCTTGGTGGTGTAGTGGTTAAGTTCACATGCTCTGCTTCAGTGGCCTGGGGTACACAGGTTCGGATCCCAGGCATGGACCTACACACCTCTCATCAAGCCATGCTGTGGCAGCGACCCACATACAAAATAGAGAAGACTGGCACAGATGTTAGCACAGGGATAATCTTCCTCAGCAAAAAAGAAAAAAGAAAGAAAAAAAGGAACTCTAGCAGGGGAGAAATGGCGTCTGAGGGGAGCAGTGGGGACACAGGGGTCTTAGAAAATGGGAGAGGGCAGTGGGGTCTGAGGGAGGGGAGAAAGCTAAGTGGCCGCACTGTCTTCTCTTTGTATCTTTGTCCCGGGCGCAGTCACTCCAGGCTGACGCTTGCACTGGCATCTAACTTTTGGGGGAAAACTCCCCACTTCGCTCAGGACAAATCCACATTTTCTTTGTTCTCTGCCCACCGGTGCTGCCGTCGAGTTGGTAAAATTCCATTTGGCTGCCTGGGAGCTGGTTGAGCTGGGGGAAGGCGAACCCAGCGAAAACAACATGTTTTTCCCGGTTAATGCATTTTTCAGATATTCCTTTGGTTCTTCTTAAAAACAAAGGGCTCCTCTGCATAATTTCCCAATTTGTCATTCTCTCTGGCATGGCAGGCCACAACGGCAAGAGGGGGAGATTTGGGGTGAAGCTGGTGGTGTCGGGGGGTGACACCCTTTCAGCAGGAGCAAAGCCTCCCTCCCGGCAAGACGGGGTGGGATCTTGGGGGGGGGGCTGTCTAGCCTCCCCCCCCCACCTTGACTCTCTACCTGGGCCACCAGCTTTTGGGGCAAGAGAAGGGCCTCAGAAGCATGCCAGCTAAACCGAAGGCGGGGGTCAGGGGTCGGGAAACTACAGCTGGTGGCCTGTTTTTGCACAGCCCACAAGCTAAGAATGGTTTGTACATTTTTAAATGCGATCGAGACCACATGTGTCCTGCAGAGCCTAAAATATTTATAATCTGGCCCTTTACAGAAAAAGTTTGCCGACCCCTGCGGTGCGGAGCTACAGGCGGAGGAGGTAGTGGGTAGGGTGAGCTCTGGAGGTGGCTGGCAAGTGAGGGGCACCAAAGTGGGCAGAAGCAGCGTGGACAAAGGATGCTGGCAAAGGATACTGGCAAGGGACCACCGCTCATCCAATCCTGGCTGACGAGGGAGGCGGTGGGCAGAGAAGAGTTGGTGCACAGGGGCTTTCACGAAGCTGGCTCCTTTCTTCCCAGAGTGTGGGGACGGCCCCTGTGCCAGTGTGACGGCGGCTAGAACAGGAGGCAGGGTGATGGCTGTGCAAAGAGCAGCCGGAGGTCAGGAGGAACAGAGGGGAGCAGGGGCCCGGCTGGTCCTCAGTTCTGTTCAAGCCACAGCAGAACCACTTCCTTCCACTCTCTGAATCCACACCAGTGCCATGGAATCTGTCCCAAAACAAACCACCACTTGGAAGTCAGAAGGCTCTGGTGGGCATCTTGTCTCATGCAGGCATCCAGGTGGATCCATGAGGGTCCCTGGGTGGGGGAGAGCCCAGAATGCACTGCCCGATTTGCCAAGTAGAGTCACAGGTGGCATGTCCTGCTGGGCCAGGGCCACAGCCCACTTGCACGGGTGTGGGAAGCTGTCAGAGTGCCTTGCCCAGGGGCAGCACTCCTGTCCACCCTGGAAGCTCGGGCTGGGGTCTCAGCCAGAGGAGAGGCAGGATGCTCCGAGGGACTTGCATGCCTGTAGAATCCTTGTATCTTGCCAATGAGCTGGGCCTTGACCTTGGCCTTCCCCTTCCCCCTCCCTGTCTCCTCTCCCAGGCTTAGTGTGCTGGTCTCCTGCTCCGTGAAAAGTGCTCCCAGGGAAGACCTGGGCGAGAGGAATAATCCCCAGAGCCTGGAAGGAAGGTCATGTTAGGCCGGAGGAGGTGGGAGATGTCAGGGACCAAAGCCCAGGCCTGCCCTGGGCTCTGAGAGTGAGTGCAGAGGGCCAGAGGGATGCCAGGGAGAGGGCACCCTGGGTGGGGCCCCTATCAACAAGGGGTGGGGACACACAGCCGGGGAGGGGGGGAATGGCTGAGGTTAGACATCGATGGCGTGTTGTTATTTCTCAGACCTGTACCCGAGAAAGAAGGCTCTGACTTGGAAACGACATTTTCTAAAGCTTTGGGGGAACATCCGACGTTTTGTCCTCTGGGGATGGGTCGTGACGGGAGCCAGGGCGGGAGCTGGAGGACAGGTAGCTATGGAAGGTCGGAGAGGCAGAGGACAGGGCCGATGGCAGGGACAGGGGAAGTGAGAGGGAGGGAGGAAGTGGGGGCAGGAAGGCGAGCAGAGTCGGGTTACAGAGAAGTGAACTGGAGAGGAGGAGGAAGGGCCTGGGAGATGGAGCAAAAGGAGACCAGGTTTGGACAGGAGCAGGGGAGGAGAGAGGTCACAGGAGCACAGGGAGCAGAGGGCGAGGCTGGCAGGGTGGCCAGGAGCAGCCTGGGACTAGCCGGAAAGAACAGACAGATCTGGGCACCGCAGCAGCAACCTCCAGTGTCTCCACTGACTTTTAGGGGGGACCTTGTCTGAGCCCCAAAGGTACCAAGGGGGGTTGGGGTCCTCAGAGGGGTGGCTCAGATACGAAGCCTTCCCTGGGGGGCTTTAGGCACAAGCCACGAGCCACAAGAGGCTGGGGATGGGGGGCGGCCAAGTCTGCTAGGCACCCTGCCGTGGAGATGAAGGACCATGAGCAGGACAGCTGCTCTCAAGGAGATGTGGGGGAAAGAGGCTGGGTCGGGGAGGTGGGGGGCTGGGCCGCTCCAGGGGGGGGACTTACAGGAAGGATTTCATGTCCAAGCCTCGGTTTCGAATCTGCCCCACCACGTGGTCCCAGCTGCCCGGGTTGGAGCGGCTGCGGCCCCCGGCCGCCCGGTACTTGGAGCCGGCCGAGGCGCCCTGCCGAGCCTGGCCCCGGCCATAGGCCCGGGAGTTGGCGCCAGGCACCGAGCCCGTGTGGGCCTGCAGCTGGCCCAGGCTCTGGCTGGTGGTGGGCTGGCTGGGCTGCCGGCCCCGCTGGTGTTGGCTCAGCGGCTGCTGCAGGCTCTGTTGCCGCATCAGGGTGCGGGGTCGCTGGCATTTCGGCTCTCCCGTGGAGCTGGGGATAGACTCAAGGGTAGTGGCCGTGGACAGGGTGGAGTCCTCGAAACTTGGGGCGGGTGGAGGAGAGGAGAGAAAGGAGAAGCAGGTGAAGGGATCACAGTGGAGGAGCAGGAAGCCCGGGGCCAGGACTAGGAGGCCCCCGTGGAGGGCGCGCTCTGCTGAACCTCGCCAGGCCTCCATGGGAGATGTCGCCGCTGCCGTCGCTGCCATCACCTCACCCGGGAGGCCGCAAAGCCCTGCGCCCACCCTGAGGCCCCCAGGTCGGCCCTGCCCAGCCCACCCTCTGGCCTGGGCTCAGCCTAGGCCCGAATACCTGCTGTCTGAGCCGACCTCTCTGCTGCTCTGAGTGGGCCTCAGGAGCTGTGGAGGCTGCGTGGTGAAGGCGGTCCCAGGGCCCTGCGGCTGCCTGTCGTGTTGGGATGGGAGGGGGTGGAGGGACCCTGCCACCTCCTCCCGCTGTCTCACCGGGGGACCCCAACAAAGGCTGCCTCTGTGTTCTAAGTACTACTAGCCTTTGGAGACACGAGGAAATCCAGCCCAGGGCATAGCTGGCCTAGTAATGCTTGGTGAGTCGGGGGAAGTCAGCACTTCCTACATTTTGTCCAAGGAGGGTCCTCGGGCTCCCAGACCTCGGCCCTGCGGCCAGGGCTGCCTTAGGATTCGGGCTCTGGGGCAGATCTTTGCCCTCCTCCCAGATTTCCCTGTTTCTGAGGTTCAGTGTCTTTTCCTGGTATCTTGGGAACGACTCCCAGTCTGAGGAGAGGACCCAGGAAAGGAGCAGATGAGGTGGGAGCTCCTGTAGCCACTTGTGGCCTCTTTGCCACAATTCTGATGGAAAACAGGGCGACTGTCCTCTCCTCTATGCATTTGCAAGGGGGCACCTGCCTCATGGGTCCGCCAGCATCTCTGAAAAGTGCTGGGAATGGGGGCAGGGACAGAGAGGAAAAAGGATGTGGCTGAACAGAGGTGGTGTGAGGTCAGAGGGACCCAGGTTCAAAGCTCGTCTCTGCTGCTTCCTAACTGGGACTTCGGAAAAGGGAGGCCACCTCTTGGTTTCTTCATCTGTAAAATGGGGGTAAGAGAATAACCCCTGAGCTGCCTCCATTGGGGGGTTGCCACGAGGACCTAATAAGGTTGGGCCCAGGGATGTGTGGCATCACTCAGTCTCCTCATGCCAGTGGTAGTTGCAAACGTGTCAGGAGATGGAGGCAGAAGGAGTAGAGACTCCTGGCCTCCCCCAGACAACCTGCCTGCTTTATCCCCTGGCCAGAGATTTCAGTCCAGGCAGGGCCAGAGCCTCGGAAGTCGCAGCCTCTTCCTCCTCTGCCCCTCCCCTGCATCTCCCAATCCCGTGGCCTAGGGCAGGTGTGGGCAAACTATAGCCTGTGGGCCAAATCCGGCCTGCCACTTGCTTTTGTCAATAAAGTTTTATTGGAACGCAGCCACACAGTCATTCATTTACATCCTGTCTATGGCTGCTTTGGGACTACAACAGCAGGGTTGACTGGTTGTAAAAGAGGCTATGTGACTTATAAAGCCTAAATACTTCTCAACTGGCCCTTTAAAGAGAAAGCTTGCCCATTCCTGATCTAGGGCTACAGGGCAGCCCCGTACCCGGGGAGGCGTCCCAGGGCCCTTGGAGCCGCTTTCACCACTGCAGCCAGACCTCAGCTCTGCTCACCCCCTGAGCCTACCCTGGGAACCAAAGGACAACAGTTAGCTGCCCCTGTGGGCTGAGAGAGAGAAAGAAAGAGAGGAGAGAGAGCCAAAGAAAGTCAGAGAATAGTAAAGAGAGAATAAGAGAAAGAAAGAGAGAGAGAAAGAAAAGCAAAATGTGGCTTTCACTGGGGTCTCAGAGGGGGCAGCAGCCTTGCCGGGCTCGGGCTTGGAATCAGGGCTACCACCAGCCGCAGGTTTAGGCCTGGCCGGCCAGCTAGGCCCACAGCTCCCGGAGGGCAGGAGAGGCAGGAGGAGGACAGCACTTGTGGGGCCGCCTCCTCTTTGCTGACCTCATTTTGGTTTCCTATCACATCCCAAATTAGTCCAATTTACAACCTCTCAGTCACAGGAAACTAAAATTGGTTCCTCCAGGCCTGGAGCCAGTGGATGGCATGGAGGCCTCAGCCAGCCTGGAGTCTGTGGCCGGAGCAGCTGGGGGCAGGTGGGGCGCTGGGCCTGGCTCTCTGATGGGGTATGGGGCTTCCCTCTGGGTCCCTCCTGAGGCCTGATGTCAAGGAAGAAACTGGCCTGTGTTCCCTTAGGCCAACAGGCAATGAGGTGTCAGCGCAGTGGCCCTCAGTGGTCCCAATGGTGAGAACCAGGGGCCATCTGAGAAAAGCCAGGAGTGCCCTGAGTTGAGACAAGGGGACAGCCCAACAGCTAAGAAGGGGTCAGGGCTATCAGCCTTCTAAGTGAGAGGCCGCCCCACTAGCTGGGAATGAGGCAGTTCTAAAAGCTGAAAATGGAACCTACGTCCCAATGGGTGAGAATGGTCATAGTTCAAAGGATTTAGAGCCTGGAAGAGCTCAGCTGTGGGGAAATGGAAGGTTCTAAAAGGTTCTAAAAGCCAAGATGAGAAAGGCTGCCCCATGCCAGGGGTAGGGGTGGGGAGTGGGAAACATACTATCTGCCGAGATTAGGGGCTTAACCCTACATCCATGGCTCAAGAGAGGGACCGACTGTCTGTCTGGCAAGCTCAGATAGCTATTAAAAAGGAAACAGTCCTGTCTGATGTCCAGACCACCCTAGTCAGAGAAGAGAAGCTAGCTGGGGCTCAACAACCCAACCGCCAAGAACACATAATCCCAACAGCTGACAGTGGGATAGCTCGCTGACCAAGACTGGGACAGCCAATGGGGATGGCTGGGATGAGGATGAATCAGTGGGGACAGCCCGGCTGCTCATGGTGGGCCTGCATAACAGATGGTGTTATGGTGCAAGCAAGACTGGGACACACCAATGGAGTCACCTGATGGTCAAATATGGAATGGCTCAACCTCTGGGTCTAGAGCCATCTGCTGGCTGTAAGAGGTAAGGCCCAGTGTCCGATGAGTGGCATAAAACACAGGCTGAGTGGGCCGGCTCCCCAAGGATGGGGTGGTCTGATGGCTGAACAACCACAGGTCTGCTGCCCACGGAGGGATGACCTCACGGCTGAGATGGGACGGCCAATCAAAGAGGATGGGATGACCCAAGGACTGAAATGAAGCTGCCCTGGTGGCAGAAAATGGAATGACCTGGTCACTGGCAAAGAAAGAGACTGATGGGGGCAGCAGCCGGAGGCTGAGGTGCGACACTGCATGGCTGTTAGTCGTGTCCGATGGCAAGGACGATGGGAGTCTCGTGAAGGGATGGAATGAGCCAGGGGCCGAGGACGGCACCTCTGGGGGCAGCAGCGGGCATGCCAGGGGTCCCGCTGTCCACCCTGGTGGGGGCAGGCCTGAGCTCATGGCTCCGGTGGCCATGGGGCCATCACTCACTTGGACAAGTTGAGCTTCCCTGCGGCCAGGTGGCTCTGCACCGTCCGCCAGCGGCCTCTCCCCGCCTTGCCACCGCTGCCCGGCTCGCTGGGGGCAGCCCCGCCGCTTCTCAAGGCGTCCTCTCCAGGTGGCGGCACCGGCGCCGGCTTCTCCCCCAGCCGGCCTTCCCGCTCCACCGCCAGCCCCGCTGCGGCGGCCACTTTGGCGCCCGACAGGAGGGTGCCACTGGAGGCAGGCACGAGGCAGCCGGGCCAGAGGGGCACCGGGGGTGGCGGTGGGGGAGAGAGGGCAGGCCACACGTGGGGGTGGGGGGGTGGAAGAGGAGGAAAAACAATAACAGATAAAAGGAAGAAAGAGACAGAGAGAGAGGAGGAGGAGAGAGACAGACGGACAAGAGACAGACAGAGAGAGAGAGAGAGACATCAGCACGGCAAATGGGTTAACAGCGGAGCCTGCAGAGAGGAGAGAGGGGGACCGGGCGGGCTCGGGGGTCGGAGAACAACGCACCACAACAACGGAGGGGGCGCCCCTCCCCACCGCCTAGGGCAGGGGCGGCGGGGGTTGGGGGAGGGCAGCCACCTCCAACTCTATCCCACAGGACAACGAAGGGTTAGCGACGGAGGAAGAGCGGGCTGTCCAGGCCAGGAGGCCCCCAGGCAGGGAGAGAGAGAAAGCCGTGTTAGTCAGAGTTCACCACCACTATCACCGCCATCACCGCCACCACCTCCACGACCACCGACCACCGACCACCACCACCGAGCAGCCAGGGCAGCAGCGCACAGCAGGGAGGAAAAAGCGAGCCACACCGGAGGGAGGGACCAAAAAACGGGCAACCCCATCCTGACTGCACAGAGGGGGGTGGGACCAGCTGGGGGGGGCCGGGTGTGGCTGCGGAGGGGGCTCTCCTGCGTGGCTGGCCCTGGGGGAGGGGACAGGAGAGGGGCAGGCAGGCCAGGGTGGGGCAGGAGGGGTTGCTCGTCTCCATGGTCAGCCTGCCCATGGGGTGCGTGGGTGGGGACGTGGGGGGAGAGGAGCAGGAGGAGAAGTGAGGGGCCGGGAAGGGGGTGGAGGGCGTGCGCAGATACTCAATACATATGATCAAACCAGGTAAAGTCACTCACTTGAGGGACAGTCGTGGGTCGCCATAAGGGGCGTAGGGTGAAATGTTTAGAATAAATTCCTTGGGAGGGTAGGAGCTCCATTTCTGCTGCACTGTGCTCTCATTGTTATTCCAAAAGTCTCTGTCTAGATCGCTGGAGGGGCAGAGAGAGAGGGGAGAAAACAGGAAGATACAAGAAGAAACAAGAACTTCAAGTCCTGAGGGGGCAGAGGAGACCGGGCCCGGGGGGGTGCCGGGCACACGGAGAGCAGGGCCGGCCGGGTCGGCTCCTGCGGGAGGAAGAGAGGCGGGTGGCAGGGCAGCGGGGGCCCAGCACACGCACACGCACACCCACGTGCACACACTCGAGGGCTCGGAGAAGCCGGGCAGAGAGGAGGCGAGCCACAGGCGGGCAGACGGGAGCCTCGCACCCAGGAAGCTGGTGGGAGAGAGAAAGATGGTGAGAGAGGAGGGGAGAGAGGGCTGGGACCAGGCCGGGGGTGAGATGGCGTGGGGAGTGGGAGGAGGAGAGGGGGTTGGTTTCTGGCTGGAAAGAGCTGAAAGGTGGGTCAGACCCTGCTGCCCGCTTGCTGGGCTCCACCTCTCCTGGCCTCAGTGTCCCTGCCTGTCACACCAGAAGGTTGGCTGTCACCGCTAGCCATCTGATCTCTCACGGTGAGGTGGAGACCCCAGTTATGGAAGATCTTAGGTTCTCCCCTCTTTCATCACCTCCGCTGAGCCGCTCCTAGGGCAGGCCTGGCTCCCTGCTTGCCTTTCTCCTCCTCCCTTTGGCCTGAGGTCCCCCGGCCTCCTCTGCTGTCCCCACTTCAGGAGAGCTGGGATGCAGCCTTCCCATGAGATTAGCGGGATCTCAGCTGGACTGGACACCATCTCCACTCATTGTAAACGTGGTGGTTGGGTCACCCCCAGAAAGGGGAAGCGTCTCCAGGCCTCCGCCCTTGCTGAAAGTGTGACCAGGGTCACCAGGGGCCCTTCGGGTTCTCTGTTCTGGGGCCTCGTGGAGGCACAGGCCTGCCCTTCCCTTGGGGGGATGCTGGGCAGCCTCAGTCTCGGGCCCTCGGCATTCCTCTGGCCTGCTGGCTGGGGCAGCCTCTTGCTGTGCCCGTCTCCCTTTCCAAGGTGGAGCTGCTGGGGGAGTCTCCCCCAGTCTCCCCATCCCCTCCTGCTCTGTGACATGTCCCACCGAAGAAGCAGATACGCCAGAAGCACCGAGAATGTGGGGACTTCCATGGGGGGCAGGTGGCAGAAGCCTCGGCCCCCAGAAGGCATGGCCTGGAAAGCCCGGGAGCTGAGGGCAAGGGGCTCCACCAGCTTGTCAGGCTCCTGGGACCCCCAGGAGGAGACCTGAGAGCACAGGGAAAGGAGAGGCAGCTCCAAGGCCAAAGGAACATTCTGGAAGGGAGCCATGCCTGAGCCCTCAGGAATGCAGCTAAGGAAAAGGGGCTCCAAGGAGGAGTGTTTAGGATGGGGCCGGCATGTGCTGAGGCTGTGCCACTGCTCAAGGCCAAGATGAGGGCCCTATTGGGGGAAGGGCACTGTGAGGGAGGCACGCCCCCTGACCATTGAACGAACATGTTCTTGGAGCACCTGCTTCTCTCCCCTTAAGAGTGTGCCCTTGACCTTGGTTTTCAACCTCAGACTCAGGAACAAAGGAGAGAAAGAGAGAAGCTGAGCTGCCACCAAGGGCCCAGAGGAGATGGTAGCCCTGGCCCGACGGTGGGCATGGCCTCCTTGGGCCTCCCTGGTGTGGACAGAGTCTCTGTCTGTCCAGAAGCCCCTTGGACATGTCTCCCAGGAGACTCTGTGCACAGGGTTCAAAAGCCGAAGCCCTGAGCCAGCTTACAGGGGCAGTGGAGGCTGGGGGCAGGAAGGAGGCCCCTCCCTGGGGAGGCTCCCTCAACAGAAGACCCTATTCTTACCAGAGATATCCTTTGGTCCCCCTCCCCCCATGTAACAGAGAGACGGAGCAACTGGAAGGCCGCCCTCCCCTTACCCCATCCTGGTCTCCAAAATTGAGGGCTATCCACCCTAGGTCCTGGAGAGAAAGATCCACCAGGGTGATCACTGCTAGGCTGGTCTCCCACCCTGTGTTCCAAGGAGCTACAAGGTCCCTCAGGTTGTCTGCTGTGGTACTGGGAAAAAGGATCTTTAATTAAATAAGTTTGTGAAACACTGGTTCCTTGACTGCAGGACTTATCAGAGCCTTTAATGTGTCAATGAATACCAGTATCTCCAGAGGGCGAAATGGTGTGCAGTGTTTCCCAAACTTAGTTGGTCACAGAATAACTATTAATCGTTTGTGGGGCATGAGTACTCCGAGGAACATAGTTTGGGAAGCCCTGCTGAAGAACGCAGCTTCCCAGAATCCTTGACAAGATGATCCCTTTGGAGGAGGTCCTAAGGCCATGGGGTGACTGTGCAGGGGCAAAGCCCTGCTTCCTGCCACTCCGCTGGCTTCAGCCCCGGCAGGAGGCGAAGGCCTAGGACCCTGGGGGCTGTAGATGGGAATGGTGGCTTCCTTGCCCTGGGGCAGAGGGTCTGCAGCTCAGCAGGGTTGGTGGGGGGAGAGGCTCAGCAGGGAGGTGGGGCACGGCCCGCTGTCGCCCCACGTTGTCTCAGAGAGCCCTCAGGGGCGCGGTTGCAGCCTGCAGAGCCCGCTGCCCCCTCTCCTGTCCGCCCTCTCCTCTTGCTGGAATCCCGCCTCCTCTCGTGGCCCTTTCCAGGACCATCCAGGACACGCACACCCCTTTCCAGGAAGGTTATGGTCATCTGGCCCACACCATGGCTACAAACTCAGTTAGAGGCCTGGCCTGGAGGCGGCCCGGGCGCTGGGCTGAGCCGGCCCCGTGCTCCCCCCACGTGGTTCCTCCTGCCTTCAGAAAGCCTGGAGCCCGGGCTCTGCGACGGCCCCTGAGACCTGTCAGCTCTCCGCTTTGAAGACTGGAGAGTGCGCAATCAAACCCAGCTTCAAAGGCTCCCGGTGGCCTCCTTCCGAGCCTCCTCCTCGCCCCCGGCCTCGGCCTGGCCCACCCCTCCACTTACCCGCCCCCTGCCAGACACACACCCGCAGCTTCTGTGAAGGCCCCAAACAGGGTCAGAGCCAGAGATGAAAAAAGAGGAGGGGGCCAGGAGGGGCAGGGAGGCAGCCCTCAGGAGCAGGGAGAGGAAGAAGGGAAGGAGGAAGAGAGAAAGGGAGAAAGATACACAAGGAGAGGGGTAAGGGGGACTAGACAGTGGGAGGGGTGGGGAGGTGGGCAGGGGCGTTGGGGCCCCGAATTGAAGGGAGGGATGGCCCGGGGAGGCTCCGCTTGGGCAGGGCACCCTGGCTGGCAGGTTCAGCCCTGGCAGGCTGAATTGGAGGGACACCCAGCCCTACCTCGGCCTGACAGCCTCCAGCGAAGGCCTATGCCCAGCAGAGAGGAACGGGCCGGGGCCACTGGGTAGAGGGCACAGAGCCCCCACTTCCCAGAGCCCCCAACCCGGTGGGGCAGGGGGGCTTGCCCTGGTGTCTCCCAGCAACCCGCAGCAACCGGCTGGCCAAGGTGGTCTGCAGTGGAAAGCAGACCTGCCTACCTGAAGAGGGCGCTCAGAGCAAAACAAGGGAACCCAGGCAAGTCAGAGGCAGCAAGACCCGCAGAGGGGACCGCAAGGGGGACCAGAAGTGATGGCGAGGGAAGAGTCTCTCCCCATCGCTCCCCATCCTCTGAGTAGCTCTGCACGGGGGTCTGCCCCCCCTTCCAGGTCACCCTCAGAACATTGGTGGGGTCTGAGAAAAAGAGCTTGAGCCCCCTGGAGAGCGGCTCCCCAGCCCAGGGGCTGGAAACAGTGTGTGTGATATGCGGGTTGGATGGAGGAGTCAGCGACCAGGGTGGAGAAAGACAGTGCTGGGAGTGAGAGCAGCCGGAAAAGGGGACTGGGGGTCCTGGAACGTCGTGAGGATCTGGAGGGCACTGGCAGAAAAGGTGGAGCCCTGGAGGCCCCCTGAGGTGCTGAGAGTAAGGGGGAACCTGAATATGTGTGCGGCCAAGGGGCTCCTCCCACTTGGGCGGCTTGCGTGTCCCCACCCCAAACTTGAAGCCTGGCACCTACTTGATGGCCTTCTTTTCACTGCGCCCACGCCCTGAGTCTGGCGTGCCCACGGTCTCCAAGGAGTTCTTGTAGCGTTTGCCCTGTGGAGACAGCGCCAGGGTCACTCCCAGAAGACATGGCTGCACCCTCCCTGCCTCCCCAGAACCAGCCCGGAGGACAGGAGTAGATGGGAGCCCAGGCTTGGCAACAAGGTCTGGGGCCAACATGTGAAGATTTCACCCCTGTGGGGTACCAGCCCTATGGATATCGGCTCCCTCACGCACACCCATGGGGCTCACCCCGACCTGCACCTCATCCCTGACCCCCAGGGATGGGGCCCCTCCTTTCCACCTGTCTCCTGGGGCTCTGGCCCGGCTCCCAGAAACACATCTCCCTCTGCCATGAGCAGACAGCTCTCAGGAGCCTGGCCACGTCACGCTGGCCACGTCACCGCCCCCAGATGGTGGGGGTGGCATCCTGCAGGGCAAGATTGGCAGCGGCCAGTGACACGAGGGGCGGGGGCGAGGAGAGGGCCCCATGCCCGGTCCTGTCTGGGGCTGTGTCCATCACTGTCTGGGGGCTCCCTGGGGTCCTCCTGCCCTGGGGCTGGGAGGCAGGGCTGGGTCTGAGCACCCTCCTATAGGAAGGCAGCCTTAGAAAGGGAGGCTGCCCACTGACTCTGAGGCGGGGGCAGCTGCCCAGAGTTCCCCACACCAGCATGAGGTGGGGGAGGGGCAGGGCAGGAGGAGGTGGGTACAGCAGGTCCCCGGCTAGGGGACATACAGAGGCAATGGGGCCTGCTGCCGGGAAGGTGAGCACCATTCACCTTCTCGGTTTGGGTTTCTAAATTTAGCTCATGCAGAGCCTGGCACCATTAACATTCCTGGCTGCCACCAAACGTCCTCACGCGCACCCATGGGCCACGGACCTGCGCCTGGCCCAGGGCTGGCCCCACAGCCCATTCTCCGCTGGGCACTGGCTTGCCCCTGCCCAGCCCAGTGGGAAGGGACACACACACACACGCACACGCGTACGTTTCCCCAACATCCCGTCATGCACACCAACACCATAGCCACAACAGTCAATTATTCCATCTTCCCTAGACAAAATAAAAGCCGCACAGCCGCGTTCCCCGACGCTCCCGCCAGCTGCAGCCCCTTCGCTGCATGGGAGCTGCCTGTTTAGGGAGACCGGCCGTGGCAGCGGAGCTCCCCCGGAGGGTGTGGAGGGTTGGGGCAGGGCCCTCATTCCACCTCCAGTGGCCCCACCTCTCAGGGGTGCCAGGCTCCTGGTCCCAGCAGTGCCCCACATTCCCCATGTCACCCTAGTCAAGTCCCTTGCCCTCCATGGCCTCCTTTCTCAAATGGTGTTGTGTCACCAGATGAGCCCCAGGTCCTTCATCCTTCAAAATTCTCATCACAGATATTAGTCTCTCCTTTCTTACTTCAGCTCCCACCCCTAGGAACGGAGCCCGAAATGGCAGGGACTGTCTGGTCCTTGGTGTGGAACCTGGCACCCAGCAGTTCTCAAAAACCCACCACTGCAAGAGTCCCTCTAGCGCCCTGCCCGCCCTCGGGTCCAGCTGGGCTGCTGCCTCTGAGCCAGAACTTGAAGAGCTAAAAAGGAGGGCTGCTGCGTCCTCAGGGTCCACAACAGCTGCCTTCTCAGCTCCATCTCTGATCCCTGCCATCATTACCCAGTTCTGACTGGGAAGACTGGGGGTCTGCAGACGCTCCAGGTGGCCAAGGGCCCTTCTTGGACAGGCGCCTCTGGCAGGATCCCACCCTCCCTGTTCTGCAGCACTTCAGGCAGCAGGGCAGGCAGGGGGGGCCCCATCCCCACCCCTCACCCCCTCTCCTCTTGCTTTCTCCTCTTGGCAGGGGACATGACCCGGGTCAGCACCCTCCTCCCAGGCTGCTCAGCGGCCCCTTCCCCAAGACCCAGCACCTAGTTTACCGAGGGCTTTCTGGGAGCTTCTGCCTGCCCCTCTTCCTTCCACAGCTCCCAGAGCCTCCCCCTCTGGCTGCAACTATCACTCTGCAGCCAGCCTGGGGTGCTAGGGGGCAGGGACTGGGGCAGGACTTGATTTGGGGGCCAGGGGGGAGATAAAGGGGCAACAAGAGGAACCCCAGGCGGGGTCCAGGAGACATCAGGCAGCCCCAAAGGAGCCCCAAACCAACAGCCTGCCTATCAGGGAGGGGGTTGGCCAGGCTGATCCGGAAAAAGCCAGCTGGAGATTAAAGAAGTTATTAATGTTTGGAAACGGGATCTGGGCTGTCAGGTAGCACATCACTGCTGCTAAGGGGACAGGCGGGCAAGGAGAGCCCAGCAGCTGTGCAGGGGGCGTCTTAAAGCCCCTTCCACGGACCACAGAGATAGCCTGGGCAAGGAGCTCCCTGGCCTCTGGAACCTGAGGGTGGGGGTGGGTCGGGGGAGGAGGGGAGTGGCAGAGTTAGGAGGGGCTGGGCAAAGTAACATTGTCTCAGAAGCTCAGAGGAGGAAATGGAGAGGGACAGGCTGTGGTCTGGACCCCTGGGGAAGCTCCTGGCTGGAGGCTGGGAGGAGGGGCTGGGGCCCTGGAAGGTTCTGTATGTCTCAGCTGCTCAAGGCACTTCCTTCGAGGACAGCCCCCTATCTGACTCAAAAGCTGTCATCTTTGAACTCTTGTCCCCAGGTGAGTGGGGGCGGGGGTGAGGCTCTCACCACACACACACACACACACACACACACACACACACTGCAGCACTTACCAGGGGAGGCCAGGACAGTGGGGCAGACACAAGCACCAGCTCACACGGGGATCTGATGCGATGATTGACATCCCACCGTGCAGGGGCCAAGAGACACAGACACATTGCCCCCATACCCTCCAAGTCCACACACTCAGCACAAAAGACCCCCAACTCAAGGTCACCAGCAGCGCCCTCTCATACAACCTTCCCCTGCCTTCAAATACAAATAGACAGCTGAACGGGCCCTGCGACAAGATGCACAGGGCTGCAGTGCGTGCTCAGCCACTCCCATGGCCTCTGAGGACACTGGCACACATAGGCACGTGGCCAAGCCCCCTCCTCCACCGCCCCTGAAATTGTGAGACAGACACAGACACCGGAGATCCAGGAACAATGCAGGGCAGCCAGCCTGGCTCCACACACCTGCGTGTAAGGAGCCGTCCGGCTCACACACACACTAGCACACACTCCCACTTGCACGTGGGCCAGAGCTGGCCTGAAGCTGAATAGCCCAGGATGGAGTGTCATGCTTCCAATTCCTGAGTTTGCCTTTCCTGAAGGAGGCATGCCGGGTTATGGGCTTCTCGGGTCCTCCCCAGGGGTCTCTGTCCTTTCTCTTCCATAGGACCGAGGCATGAAGCCCCCACCTACCCAGTGCTGACGGCCACAGCCCTCCCCCCTTGTCCTGAAGGTCCCTCTGTGGCTGGGCAGGGAGAGAATGGAGCTCCCAGGTGTGGCACCCTGCCCCCACTCCCACCGTTCTCAATCTGGGGGATGGAAAGAGCCTGCCAGGGACCCTTCTTCACCTAACCCCGGGAAAGGCCCCACACTTGGGACTTCTCCAAGCCCACCTTTGGGGCTGCCCCCAAAGTCCCCGCCGCACTTCTGGGCTGCGGCGGCAGGACCGGGATGAGCAGGGGCTCCGCGGAGCTGCGGGCGGGGCGGGAGGGCGGCTCAGCCCAGCTCCCCTCCCCGCGCCCTCGGGTGACGAATGTCCCTCCTGACGGTCTCGTTACTTATTAATGGCCTAATCCTGCTCGTTAATTCCCCAGCCCTCGTTAAAAATGAAAAGAAGCCGTTTGTGCTTGTACAAACCCGGAGACCACGATGGATGTGTAGGCGCTGGGGGTGGGGCGGGGCGGGCGGCGCCTCCTCATTGGCTGGGAGACCCGGCTCGGCCACGCCCAGCCCTGGGGGCGGGGGCGGGCAGAGGGGCGGGGGCGCGCGGCCGGGCTTGCAGGGGTGGCGATTCTGTGATTCCTTCTGCGCGCGTGTGCCTGCGGTTCGTTCTGCAGGAGGTGGGGCGTGTGTGCGTGTAGTTGCGAGCATGCGAATGCCTCTGGGACCTATGTCTGTCCACCCATGTGTCCCTAGGTGTGTGGCTCCGGGTGTACATATGGGGCCAACACCCAGGCAAGCAGAGTGCGTGCACGCGTGCGGTGTGAATTTCCACGGAAGTGTGCCTGACAACGCGGGCAGGTGGGTCATCTGCGCACGCCCTTGAGAGCATTCACGAGCCTGTAATAGTCGGGGGGCTGGGGGGCGGGGTGCAGGGCCAGGCTCTGCCCCCGGGGCCCCCAGGAGCCTCACCAGTTTGCGCTGACACCAGTGGCAGAGGCCGCAGAGGACGACAGTGACGCTAAGGCTGACGGTGATGATGGCAGAGACCAGCAGGACATCGCGGGTGGGTGCCCCTGGGGAGGACACGCACAGGTCAGACCCTCATTGGCTAGGGCCAGCCACCCTCCCTCAGCCCAGAGCCCCCTAGAACAACCATCCCACTGCTTCCATCTGGCCCCCACACTGGGAGCTCTGAGCCCCCAGTTCGGCCTTGCCGGCTGAGCTTGGGAAGGCCCTTCTCTTCTCCTCCTCAGTTTTCTCATCTATAAAATGGGGGAATCTTGCAGGTTGATGTTTCTCCCAGTCCCTCCCTGCATGGGCCCTGTGTGAGTCCATGGATCCGCACCATCCCCCAAACTTGACACCCTCAAAGGGAGAGGCCAGTGTGCCCCTAGCCCAGCCAGGCCTCACAGGCCCTTCAAGTACCTCTAAGACAGCCACGGCTTCTGCACAGCCTTCCTGCCCAGCACTCTTCCATACTCACGCGCCACACACATACTCTGAGCCAGAACTCCAGCTAAATTTGCCCAAACAGTCATTATTATTTCTACAGTCCCTCTGAACAGATCTGCCCCATGAGGGTCTGGCCAAGACTCAACAGCCACATTTGTCATCAGAGTGGGGATCTCTGGAACCCCCTGACCAGCCCTTGCCCCCTTTAGCTCAGCTGTCCTTGGGCTGGATGTCCACCCAGCTGTCCTCTGTACACCCCACCCTCCCACCCCTTAGCCCCTGAGCTCGCTTCTGGGCCTCCCATCCCATGGGCTCCAGCCCCACCTACGGTGTTTGCAATGTCCTAAATGCTCCCAGGAGCTACCCTGCAGTTTCCATTCCAAGAGCTCCGGGTCCTGCACCCCGACAGACCTGTCCTGGGAGGAAAATCGCAGGCGTCTGTGCAAATCCTGCCACTGGCTGCCTCTGTGGCTTTGGACGAGCCACATAACAACTCACTTTTCTCCTCCTGTGACTGTGGATTAAATCTCCTCCCTCCTTTCGGACAGGTGGGTTGTCAACAGGAGCCCAAGCCAAACGTAAGGAAGGCAACACTTGACCAGAAATGATCATGTGGGGGAGTGAGCCGGGAGAGAACGGTGTGGATCCCGCGTGCTCTGTAAATATGTGTGCACCGGGATGCGTCCTGAAGTCAAGGAGCCGCTGTTTATTTACAGAGGAGCCTGCGTGGGCTTTCCAGTGCCAGTGGTGGCAGTAATTAAGAGTTGACAATCTCTGTCTGGTCCTGGTTCCTGCAGTTTTAGCTTTTGCAATCGCGATCTCTCTTGCTCTGCCCTGGGGCCTCATGGAGGAGGGCTCAGTGGCCGGCCCCAGCTCTCAGGGCCCCCGGGGCTCCCTCTTGCCACCACTCTAGCACCCTGTTTCGCTAGCTGCTGGTTTGCTGGCTCGCTATCTGCTCTCCCTAGGATCACTTGGGTGCCAGCTCTCCCTCTCCAATTTCCCGAGCCTCCCAGCTGTGGGAAAAGGCCCTCCTTGCCGGGCCTCCACCTGTCCACCTGCCAGGCCAGCTGAGCTTCCTCCTATCCCGAGTCCACAGCCTCGGCCGCCAGGATGCTCCTGCACCCAGTTCATTGTCAACCTCAGGACCCACAGCACCCAGGAGCTCTGCCCTGGCCAACCTGCAGACACCAAGGAACTCGTCCTGCTCCTGCCTCCCCGGGGCAGAGGAGCACAGCTCTGCAAAGCTGGAGGGGCCACATTTGCCAAAGTCCTCAGGCCAGATGGGAGGCCTCCATCTTTAACCTCCAGACTTCTGAGGGAGAGGGGGGCAAGACGAGTGGGGAGAGCGATGGCCAAAATGCCACAGGGCACACCACCAGGGCCCCAAGACTCAGGCCTGTGGTTAAGAGATGGACAAATGTGCCTCCCAGGAACGGGGCCTGCACTTTCTCTGGTGCTCCCCACAGGAGCTGCCCTGGCCTACTGGAAGGGGCTGGGGGTGCCGTGTGGGTTGAGAAACCAGGTGACCCACACCTTCCTTTGTTCCTTTGTTTTTAAATAAAATAAATTCCATTCTTAGGCTGAGCTTTCTTCCACTGCTACCTACCCTGAGGCACAGGGGACAGGCACAAATTATTTCTTAGCATGTCGAGTGCCCCAGAACTAGCAAGTGGCAGGACACCCAGCCTGGGGCTTCAGACTCCAAAATACCCGAGAAAAGACCCAAGTGTGAGTACAGCTTCTGCCTCTTAATAGCTGTGTGGCCTTGGACAAGTGTCTTAACTACTCAGTGTCTCCATTTTCCCCTTTATAGAGTGAAGATGATAATGACCCAGCCTATGGGGTTGTTGTTAGCACTCAATAGATAGATAGGATTATTATTAGGGCTGTCGGTGTTAGTCTGCTCTCAGACATAAACAGACGGCTCTGGGAGCACAAATGAAGAGGTGATAGCTGGACTAGGGAGCAATCTGGGGAGGCTTCCCTGAGGAGGTGATGTTTGGTGTGGTCCGGAAGATGGGGCTGAGGAGAACATAGGACTTTCTGGGCAGAGGGAAGAGCAAGAGCAAAGGCAAGGCGGGGGAGGAAGGGTCAGGCATGTTGTTTGAGGAGCTAGACCAGGTTATGGGGCGCGGAGGGCCTGGGAATGAGCTTGGGCCTGATGGGGAAGGGGCTTGTCTATCAGGCTGAGGGGCCTGTTGTGTTCTGTAGGCCATGGAAGGTTTTGGAGCAGGGTAGGTCAGGACCAGAGGGGGTGTTAGAGGGGGCGAGTTGGAGGCCCAAGTGGGCCCCTCTGCCCCAGTGCCCACCCTCTCCACGTGCCCTCTCCTCCACGCACCTCTTAGCCATGGGGCAGTTCTCCAAGGGGTCACCTCCCCAGAGTTCCCTCTTTGCCAAACACAGCCCTTCTCAAAAAACTGCTCCTCCACCCCTGCTGTAGGCTGGAGAGCCCCTGAGGACAGCGGCTATTGATCCCAGAAGCCAGTGGGCACACTCTGAATGGTCCCCAGAGACCCAGGGAACATCCATCCTAAGCAATTATCATTCTGTGGGCACGCAGAAGGAGCACTGGGCTTGGAGTCTAGGCGAACTAGGCTGGGACCCTATTCTGGCCACTAGCCAGCTGTGTGGCCGTGGGTAAGGCGCTCAACCTCTCTGATGTCAGTGCCTTCATCTGTGCAAGAGCCGACCATTCCCTGCTTTGATGAAGGGCAGGTGTTCTAGGGGTCCCACATGAGTAACAACTTAGTCCTCACAACAACAAGTGGGGTGAGCATTTTACTCACTGTCCCCATTTTACAGATGGGGAAAATGAGGATTAGAGAGGTCAGGTACCCTGTCCTAGGTCATTCAGCTAGTAGGTGGTGAAACCAGTGTTCAAACCTAGGCGGTCCGGCTCAGAGTCTACCCTCTGCTTTGTGTGCTCTGTGGAACCCCTAAGATTCCCAAGAACTTCTCAGGGGCTACAGAGGTGGATGCTGAGTAGATGAGGATGTGGTCTCTCAGGCCCTCTTCATCAAAGCAGCATTATTTCCCTGTTTCTCATCCTGGGCTTTTGCAGAAAATTCCACGTGAAGGAAGGGACGTGTGGCTAAGGAGAGTTGGGACCGGTGGGACCCCTGGGATCCCCCATAGCATGGGTAGATGCCATCATCCTTCAGATGCCTGACCCCTCTTCCCCAAGATCCCCCAGGCCCCCCAGCATCCCTGAGACAGCCCTGAAAGCCAGGGTGACACGAACACTTGCCATCGCAAATCGCACTGGTGCTGTGAACAAGTGACATGCTGTCCTCGGCCAGCACGTGATGCTGCCATCCAGGGGTACAAGCACATTCTTGCCTGCCAGCCAGAGGGAAATGATTCCCAGAGCATGGAGTCACAGTGTCTTGGGCTGGAAGGGACCTTGGAAGTCATGGAGTCAGGCCCCATCAACGCACACCTCCCGCCCCGGGCAGCCCGGTTGGTGACAGGAAGCCACTTCTGCGGCAGGCAGGCCCTCCACGGATGGGCATCGTTAGGGAGGGCTGCTGTGCCTTGCGCCAAGCTGAATCTGTCGTCCTATAACTTTCTCCCTGGTCCTAAGCTTGCCCTCCAGAGCCGCCGGGAACAAGTCAGCTCCCTCTGCCGCATGACAGGCCTCCAAATCCTTGTCGACAGCTTTCATGTCCCCTCTCAGTCTTCTCCAGGCAAAGCCATCCTGGCCCTCCTAACCCTTCCTCTGATGACATACATGGTTTCAAGTCCCCTTAGCGTCAGCATATTAACATTGGGGAAAGAAAATATTGCAGCTGTAGTCAGCCTTTTGACAGAGCTGAGTTCCACGACCTATCCAGGGGCAGAGGAGACATCCGGGGTTCCCAGGGGGAGACACAGACAAGGGCAGACAGATGACATCGCAAGACCTGGGAGGCAGGAGGAGCCAGGAGCGAGGAGAGCCAGGCCTCCTGGGTCCCATCCCAGGGGTGTCCTGGGAGTGAGGTGTTGGCTCAGGCATGTCACTGCCCCTCTGCCCAGGCCTGTGGCAGGCATGTCAGCTGATTAGAGCCCAGTATTAATAAGGATCGAGCAGAGTCCTGTGGCCAGAGCCTGTGCTTCTGACCATGCCACCCCTCCACCCCCAAGGGGCTCTCAGGATAAAGCCTGTGTGCCCAAGGAGGCGGCCCACCTCTGAGGGTGGACAAGATGCCCATACAGAGTCTTCCCTTATAGGACATCAGCTCTGTGAGGGCAGGGCTCACTCTTGTGTTCACCATCGTCTTCTCAGCACCAAGGACAGAGCTGGGCATACAGCTGGTGCTATATAAATGCTTGTTGAAAGAATGAGTCAAGAGGAATCCCAGCCTCCAGGAATAATGATAGTAATAGAAGCTACCATTATTAAGTACCTACTGTGTACCAGACTACAGGGTCCATGAAAGCAGGGGCTTTATCTGCTTTGCTCATTCTGATAGCCTCTGTGACAGGCTGACGCATGGGAGGGGCTCAGTAAATATTTGATGAATGTTCAAAGCTTGCATATGTTATCTCTTTTGTCTCCCAAACAAGATGGGAGGAAGAGATGGGAGAGGCTGCAGTGACAGAGTTTGAGAGCCTCTCTCTTTTACACATGCACACACACACA